AAAAGAAGAGTTAAAAACAAAGTTAACTTATATTTATAGTTGTCTTTTTTCTTCTTAGTTTAACTCAGATAATTTATTTTGTTTATCTTTTTTTCTTAGTTTAACTAAGTTTAAATCAGATCAGTTTCTTTGTTTTTAAAAATATATATTTTTAAGTTCATCAGATCAGTCTCCTCCTCAAATATTGAACAGCTTCATTGTCAAAATCAGAATGCATGCGATTATAGCTCTTATAAATACATTGATACCCTTCTTCTAAGGGTTCAGTCCTCAGCGTGTTGAAACGTTTTAGGGTTCTTCTATGCTGCACTACCTCAGAGCACAGACCCGCCACTTTAAACCGCTTTAATCACCGCTTGTCATACCTCCTTGTCTATCTATAACAGCCAGAATCCTCAGCATGTATAAATATTTTAGAGTTTACTCTGCCCTTTTCCTGCAGCCTCGCCACATCTAAACCACCTCCCAGTCATGATCAAGCCAATTGCTAAATCACCTTACAGCTACTTCTCCCTATATTTGACTAAATGGTCTTTTTTTCTTGAGATCCACTGATCAGAGCAACTTAAATAAGCCTAATTAAATTAAATTAAATTACTTAATTAAAAAAAAAGAAATTATTAACTTTTTTTTTTTTTACTATGTCTGACACATTTATTCATTGGTAACATAACTGGTACTTTAAATAACACAGTTCTTTTAAGCAGTTTCAGTCAATGTCTCTAATCATCAGGCAGACAAGTTTTACCTGAAACGACTGAGACAAATGCCTTAAGACGCAATCCTCTGCGTGCTGACGGCAAATTGTAGATTTGAAAATTAAGCTTTTCCCCATTAGGGTTGAATCACGGAAGTTCACCAGTTATTTCACCAAGAGATTTATTATTTATTATTTATATGTGTCAGAGATACGAGATAAACTGGCATAGAAGAGGAAGGTTACAGGAGAGCTGGTCTTCATTCCAGATTTCTCTGTTGCCCATTTCTCTTTCCTCTCACCCCTCATGCCAGCTGTAATGGTTTCTCGGTGTTTCTCTGAAATAGTACAGTAAGGCTGGAGCTTATATACACCACTGAGGGACTAGAAAAACAAGTTGCTTATGTTTAAACTGGACTTATACCTCATGCTTACACATGGTACAATCCACTTTCCATATTAAAAAAACTGTCCTTCATTGTAGACATTCGTGGAACATTTGCATCAGTGAAAAACATTCCTTTCCTTGTAAAGAATATGCCATCTGTTGATGTACACACCATCATTGGAAAACCTAAGCATCAGTGAACATATGTTGCATTGCACACACTTCTATGCAATATATAGCTCATCACATATCTCTCCTCAGCACACATGTACAACTTACCCTGACTCACAAAATACATTATACAAATCATTATGAACATTAACAAAGAAAAATAATACTAAAAAATAACATTAAACAATACAATTTTAGTCTTCAGTTTCATTCTTGAATGATTCACCATTTTGAACGAATGAGGTAAGTCAATGATTCACTGACCCATTCATAAAGTCAGTGGACATTTGCTTCTTTTATGAATGAATCAGCCGGTTTGAACGAATTGGTTGAATGGACGATGATTCGCTTATTGCGACTTGCTGCCACCTACTGTTGGTTTTAGTTTAATATACTAAACAAAATTATAAACGCAACACTTTTGTTTTTGCCCCCATTTCTCATGAGCTGAACTCAAAGATCTAAGACTTTTTCTATGTACACAAAAGGCCTATTTCTCTCAAATATTGTTCACAAATCTGTCTAAATCTGTGTTAGTGAGCACTTCTCCTGTGCCGAGATCATCCATCACCTCACAGGTGTGGCATATCAAGATGCTGATTACACAGCAGGATTATTGCACAGGTGTGCCTTAGGCTGTCCACAACAAAAGGCCACTCTAAAATGTGCAGTTTTGCTGTAAGTGTTAGTCCCCAAATAAGCAAGACTGAGGCGACACTGGCAAGGAACCCAAATACCATCAGTCAACACCAATTAATGAATTGAATGAATGAATTAATGAATGAAAAAATTTAATGTATTGAAAGCCCTAATATTAGTGAAAATAAATCAGATGGCATATCTGTGTCTGCTGATGAAAGCGATATCTTTGTTGTATTATTCTCAGTGTTACCCCGACAACGCATTGCTAATCAGTTGTGCCTCATTAAGTGCTGTGCAAAGTTCAAATAATCTCCTTGTTTAAAAGTTTTTCCCGTCACAGTTATGTTTTGTTATTCCTGGACTTTCAGTTTGTTGTCATTTGTCCCGTGTCTTCCTAGTTCAGTTTTTCCCTCTCCTCATTTGTGTTATTGGTTTCAGTTTTTTTGATTCTCATCTCGTTCGTGTTTGCTATATAAGTTTAACCCTCACATTAATTCTCTGTTCGGTCTCGTTCACATTAAATGTCTGTATGCCTGTTCTGAGAATTGTTGATATTAAACTCGTGTTGGAACTTTAGTCTTTATCTTCATCTGTTTACCTGCAGCCAACCGTGACTGTTTCATTCCTGAAGAATCAGCATTTTTTGAGGATTTGGTTGAGACAGTGCCTTGCCTATCCCCACCACTAACTGACCATTCCTCAATACCATGTACGCCAATATTATTTCTATAAAATATTATTTAGTGAACAATAATATTTAAAGGGGTGGTGTAATCCCTTTTTTTTTTTACAATATTTAAAATAAGTGTCTGTTTTCCCCAGAGTGTGTATGTGAAGTTTTAGCTCAAGATTATTTTTACAGCATGTTAAAGTTGTTCCTTTTTGAGGGTCAGTAAAAACGTGTCGTTTTGTGTGTGTCCTTTTAAATGCAAATGAGCTTCTGCTCCCGGCACAGAGGGCGGAGCTTCAAAATTGTGTGTGTGTGTGTGTGTGTCTGTCTCTGTGTCTGTCTGTCTTTCGTGTTCCTTTTATATCTTATTTTCTCTTGTTTAAGCTAGTGAGGGAGTTAGTGTATTATTATTGTACTTTTGTTTTGTTTTTTGTAGCTTAGTTTCTCCCAAATAGTTAGAGGGTTTATGTTTGTTGTTTTGGCCGTGCCCACTCTTGAAGCCTTGCAATCCTCACACATTTGTTAGATAAAGAACTTGTTTTGCTATTGAGTTGTTTTGGTCGTTGTTAGGGCACTGGGGTTGGGAAGTGAACCTTGCGGCCTCCACACATCACACCATTTTATTCTGTTACTTGTCCCTTCAACCCTAGACAAAATAGGGAGGTAACACACACACACACACACACACACACACACACACACACACACACACACACACACACACACACACTACCCGACCCCTAGACCTACCCAGCACACATAACCTTTTACATTTTGCAAAAAATATTATTCAGTATGCTTATTTACCACTGGCTGCTTCTCGATGCAGGAGATCTCAGGTTTTACTATCCTTGTGGGGACATTTGGTCAATGTAATATAAACCTGTATATATACACACACACACACACACATACTCTCCATAGGCATAACGGTTTTTATACTGTATAAACTGTATATGCTCTCCCCTTACACTAACCCTATAAAAATAATAGGTTTGTACTTTTGAAAATCAAAAGTTTGATAGTGATGGCATTATGAAAAGCATTTACTGAGAATAAAATGGTTATATAGATGAAACAGCTATTTGTGTTGTGAACATGATACTTTGTGATTTTGTGTATTTACTAACACAATTGAAAATGTGCTGAAATGTTTGAATAAAGTGCACTTTGATGATCTGTTGATATTCTTACTAAAAGTTTGGAAAATGTACACCTTACTTGTGAAAATAGTACCAAAGTGTATGAAAAAAACTGCAAGTAACAAAACAACACACCAATCAGAGTCTCAGGATAATATAAACAGGGCCATGGGGAATTATGTGCTTTGGAAAATGAATCCTGGTGGGAGAGAAAGAGGAAGAAGAGAGGAAAATAAAAATGAAGAGGACAGGGCAAAAGACATTTACTCCTGATGAAATACAGAGCACTATAGTTGAGCATGTTGTTGAATGATCATGAGGGAAGTTGATCTTATACTACTCACACATACAGTACAGCAGTACTTTAGATGAGAGACTGTTCACTGTTACAGTAAATACCGGGACACATGTTGTTAGAAAACTGCTCTGTCACTAAATCTGACTATATAATGACAGAATAATCCAGTACCCGGCTGTGATTGGCCCATCCCGAGCAGCGCTGAGGAAGGTCACAGGCACCACGTGACCACGGGTTCACTTCTGCAGAGCAGAGATTATCGTTATTTATGATTAAATGCTGAATAATGACGTCTGACACGAGTCGAGTGCATTTAAGTGAAACTAAGCAGTTTAAAAAAAAAAAAATTATCCAACGAACTTTAGTAGCCTAATATAGTATACAGAATTTACTTTTTTTTTTTTTAAAACACACGTCAGAGTGTACAAATTGATCTATTAATTTAAAAAACGATATCTTCGTTAAAGATATGACAAGTCCAGTGAAATAAGCAGTGAAGAGCAGAATGGAGCATGATGACGTAGCGCAGTTAGCCCCGCCCCCTGCGCGAGTGGTCCTCAGCCACGCCCTGCTCCGCATCCTCATGACAACAGCAGCATCCTCGCCATCCCAGCATCACTGCGAACACAACACACACACAACACTGAAGAGAAGACTCGCCATCACTGCGAACACAACACACACACAACACCGAAGAGAAGACTCGCCATCGCATCATCACTGCGAACACAACACACACACAACACCGAAGAGAAGACTCGCCATCGCATCATCACTGCGAACACAACACACACACAACACTGAAGAGAATCACTGGCGCTGCGACTGACTCCAGCAGGACAACACACACAGATAACGCTGAAGAGAAGACTCCAGCAGATCTATAAGCAGACATCAGGATCTTCTTCTGTTTCTCGCGCTGACGCCATTAGCTCGAGCTCAGGCCGTGACTCGCCGTGTTCTGCTGTTCTGATATAAACTCGCTGTACTGTGTGATCATGACGGACGCCGTAGCTGAGTGCAATATTAAAGTGCTGTGTCGCTTCAGGCCTCTGAACCAGGCCGAGATCCTGCGCGGAGACAGATTCCTGCCCAGCTTCCAAGGGGACGACACGGTCGTCATCGCGGTAACCATCTCCTTTATCCAGATTTACTGCACATTCAGCGCTAAAATATACATTAAATGCTGATATGAATGATCCCGGTGATGATGATGATGCGCGCGACTGTGTCAGTATGACGTCAGCACATATAGAGGCTCTAGGCCTAATTTAGTGTAGAGAAAATATACAAAAGAAATATCGTTCTGTCTGTAATATATATATATATATGTATGTTTGTATATATGAGGGATGGTTTGAATGAATGCAGGGAGTGGCTGATGATGGTCATAACAGTTATTGGGGAGGGGGAGGGATTTATTTTTTTACTAAGCTGTATTAAATATATAGTGAAATTAGCTGAATGTGTTAATCATCACAGTTAAAGGCTTATAGTTTATAAAGCTGAACTGAGACAGTCTGTTAATGTTATTCCTCCGTCTACATCTCTGTGACGTGATTAGTGGTCTAATAATCAATATCTGAGTCCAAACAATGACGTTCCCGTTTCCTCTGTGTGTTTTATGTGTCCGCAGGGAAAGTCGTACGCGTTTGACCGTGTGTTTCCCACTAACACCACTCAGGAGCAGGTGTACAACGCATGTGCCAAGCAGATCGTCAAAGGTCAGTGTGTGTGGAGTGTGTTTCATGGCTACCGCTGAACTCATTACACCTGAACTGAGAGGATAATGTGTGCCAGGCTTATACTGGAAGCCCATCTTAATGATGTGTGTGTGTGTGTGTGTGTGTGTGTGTGTGTGTGTGTGTGTGTGTGTGTAGATGTGCTGGGAGGTTACAACGGCACCATCTTTGCCTATGGACAAACCTCTTCTGGGAAGACTCATACCATGGAGGTACAGTGTGTTACACTTCGTTAAACATTATTACAGTTTTAATTCCAGCAACATTATCAAGAGTTTATTTTGCATTTGTTTTTTAGGTGACACTTTACAATAAGGTTAATTAGTTAACATTAGCAAATGCACTGTGAACTAACATGAACACACAATGAACAGCTGTATCTTTATTAACTAACATTAACTAAGATTAATAAATACAGGAACAAATATATTGTTCAGTGTTAGTTTATGTTAGTTAATTATTTAACTAATGTTAACTAATGAACCTTATTGTAAAGTGTTACTGGTTTTTATATTATAAAAATAACAAAACCAGTCAAAAAAAAAAAAAGACTTTGCTATCAAAATGGCAAATATTTAGCATTACATACATTAAACATCACTACTATAAACAACAGTTTGGGTTTGTGTCATTGTTCCTTTATTTAACCAGATACAACTTTCTGAGATTAAGGCCAGGCAAGTTTATTTATATAGCACATGTCATACACTATGGTAATTCAAAGTGCTTTACACAGAAAGGAATTAAAATAAAATAAAATAATCACGAAATAAAAACAAGGAAAATTAAAACAGAAATTAAAAGAGTAAAAAGATGATACATAAATAAACTTCTCATCTGGCAAAACACCGGTGTATCATATTTTTCACATTAAGATTAAAAATGGATGCAAAAATGAGCAGCACAAAAGTGTAAAAAAAAAGAAGTAGACAGAGAAAATCATCACAACATTACAACATATCATCAAAACGATTAAAAATTTAGCAACATTCTACCACGAATTGACAACAATAAAACATTTTTTTCTTAATGTATCTAATAAATAATACACAATGCATAATAATATATGCATATTGATTTATTTAGCTGTGTTAACAGTCATGCAGTCATTGGTCTGTTGATCTGAACTGAGCTGGACGATGACATCACTGATTTAGCTGAACGGCTTTATAGATGAACAACTAAATGCATTACTTATTTATACTACCTCTTCTACTCTGTGTGTAATAACATAGATAATATAGAATTAAAAAATATATATACCAGTATTATTTAGACATTTTATGTGCAACAATATTTGACTATTTATGTCCTAATTTATTTCTAATTATTGCAGTTTTTATTTTTGCATTGTTTATTTTAGTATTTGCTATTGTGCCATTTATTGAGGAAGCTGCTTGGACATACACTCTAGTTTCTAATGTTTTATTGGATAATGTTTTTATGTTGTGTTTTGACCGGGACGTTAGTACTTAGTTTCGTTCCTTCATGTAAATATGTGTATGGAATGAGAATAAAAGACCATTGAACCGTTGAAAAGTTTGATCTTTACAACAGAACTGACTTCAGCTGAACAATGACACTGTTGTCTTTTAGAGCTGCAGAATTGAACTCAGTTTGTTTCATTGAATCATAATTTTATCATAATAATCTGTATTGTATAAAGCGTTGTATAAATGAAGGTGAGTAGACACCGCTCGGATCAGACCAGGATGAGTTTGAATAACGATGTGTTATTTCAGGGAAACCTGCACGACCCGCAGCAGATGGGCATCATTCCCCGCATCGCAGAGGACATCTTCAACCACATCTTCTCCATGGACGAGAACCTGGAGTTCCACATCAAGGTGTGCTAGATTCCCCTACACACCTGACTGAAGTCTACCTGGCCGTCTTCAGTCGACACTTTTACACATTACACTCAGTTGAGTTCACCTCTGAGCTCACTGGTTGACGCCTAAGAGTATATCTATTCTGACCGCATAACATGCCTAAGAATTATAGTTACCTGAGCATATCTAACCCCACCCACTGAGTCGAACGACCTCTCCTTCCCTTTCGAACACGTTCACTTGGGAATAAGGTCTCTTGTGCTCCACTAACCTGTTCTGCATCAATAACTAGACAGACTCCAGACAATGCCTTCGAATATTAATGCTTTAATCACGGCCGGAGGATCTCAGACAAACGTCAGAGAGAATCCCACCAGCAAAAATACAACAGTTTTTATAGAAAAGGAGCATGGCAAAGCGGACATGATGATACATTATATCATTTCCCTATAATTTGATTGGTTCTTCATATGCAAACCCTTCTGTTGCTAGGTAGAAGCAAACTCTGCTTTCTTGATTGCTTCACTTTGTTACTCAAAGTCACGAGTTTATAAACCTAGACATCCGCCTAGTTTCATTTCCCCTTTTGTTATATTCGGACAAGATTCACTAACACACACACACACTCAGTCACAATTTTTTGACCAAAGGGTTTGGAAACATTTAGGATTCAAAAGCATATGAATGTTATTCCTGCCAGAAAAATAAATGTTAGTTATGATTAATCCACCACAGAACGTGACTGATAAACCCGAGCGCTTCTGCTCGAACTGTGCTCTCAAACTCTCAAAACCAGTGTCTGCTCTCCTCAGGTGTCCTACTTCGAGATCTACATGGAGAAGATCCGGGATCTCCTGGACGGTTTGTAGGAAACAGAAATAGTGCAGCGTAACGAATTCCCTACATTACTCCTCATTGTGTTTCTTTCCTCTTCAGTCACGAAGACCAACCTGTCTGTGCACGAGGACAAGAACCGAGTTCCTTACGTGAAGGTGAACCATCAGCATATTCAGTGAGAGTGAGATTAAAGGAGTAGTTCACCTCAGAGTTAACATTTCCTGATCATTTACTCTCCCCGCGTCATCCAAGATGTTCATGTCTTTCTTTCTTCAGTGGAAAAGAAATGAAGGTTTCTGAGGAACACACTCCAGGGTTTCTCCATATAGTGTCTTCAATGGGGTCCAACGGGTCGAAGGTCCAGATGTGAGTTTCAGTGCAGCTTCAAAGTCTCGACACGATCCAGCCGAGGAATAAGAGTCTGATCTAGACAAACCAGCGGACATTTATAACAAAATACACATTTATATACTTTTATCCACTAATGCTGGTCTGGCACGAGCTGTGATGCGACACACATTACGTAATCAGGTTGAAAGGTCACTTCTTTGAAGCTGCACTGAAACTCACATCTGGACCTTCGACCCGTTGGACCCCATTGAAGACACTATATGGAGAAACACCTGGAGTGTGTTCCTCAAAAACCTTCATTTCTTTTCCACTGAAGAAAGAAAGACATGAACATCTTGGATGACGCGGGGAGAGTAAATGATCAGGAAATGTTAACTCTGAGGTGACTGCTCCTTTGAGCCTCTACCAGTGCTAATGAAGTGTGTGTTATCAGGGCTGCGTTCGCACTAATGAAGTGTGTGTTATCAGGGCTGCACCGAGCGCTTCGTCTCCAGTCCGGAAGAGGTCATGGACGTCATCGACGAGGGCAAGTCCAACCGGCACGTGGCCGTCACCAGTGAGTGCTCACACTCCTTATAATCTCACTGACCGTAGCTGTAGAAACACATGACTGAAGACTAAACGTGGTGTTGTTGTGTGGTCAGACATGAACGAGCACAGCTCTCGCAGTCACAGCATCTTCCTGATCAACATCAAGCAGGAGCACGTGGAGACGGAGCAGAAGCTCTGCGGGAAACTCTACCTGGTGGATCTGGCCGGCAGCGAGAAGGTCTGAACTCTTTTTACTACACGCTTGTGGAATTTTCTGTCTTTAGTGGAATAGTGTTGGGCTTACACACAACATTGGACCCCATTGACTTTTGTTCTGCCCCCACTTCTGTGTGTGTATGGCGCGTCCTAGCCTGTTACATCAGTTCGACAGATAGCTAACAGTTTCCCCAAGACAAAGATGTTATGTTTATGTTTCTTTTTTCATAAGGCTCTTGTTTTGAACTTCATGCATGTGTATTGAATTTTAAATAAGTTAAAAATGATAACAAGACTGTGTTTATCATGGTGATTTGTACAGAGGCTTCTTGGATTTGCACTTAAGCCTGATCAGACAGTGAAAGACAGATCGACTGAGCGCGTGCAATGACCCGCGTCTGTCTGGTCAATGCATTGAATCAATGTCATCTCTTTTGAATGGCAGAGGTGTAAAGTCCAGATTCAGAAAAAAAAGTCTTCCTCAGTATTTTGTTCCAATCACCTGATTTGCTAATTAGCACATTTTTCCACCCAGGAGAACTATTGAGTGAAATCATTGATTAGCATATTCTGTCATGATAATCTATAAGTGGAGCATTAGCTTCAGCGTTACCCGTGCGACGCATTGCTGGTCAGCTGAGCCTTGAAAAGTGGAGCTCAAAGTTCAAATAATTAACACCTTGTTTCATTACATCTATCTTTTAATGAATCAGCGTTTTTGAACATGTTCGTTGATGAACTGTTTAATGACTCACTCAAAGACAGTCCTTTGCCTCCCCTAGTGGCGTAACAGTGTAACTGCGCTGAGTGACGGCCTGTGTATAACACGCAGAGACGAAGGCGACGATACTGGTGAAATATCAGCAGAAAGCCTCTCGTCCACTCAGATTCGGGGATCGGAACTAACTGTTGTACATATAAAAATAGCCTAACAAGTTTATTATCAGGCTTATGTTCTGATGAGTGGACCTTTATTTTGACATTCACTTCTGTTTACTTCACTTCCTGTTTCAATGCTGTTTAGTTTCGGTTACATTGGTTATTGAATATTTCCTTGTTTTTGTGCATGCTGACCACATCGTAACACTTATTTATATAGCAACAAATACATCTGAATAAATAAATGGCGATAATACCGCATATGGTGCAATTGAGCCACTCAAAATGACCACAAGGGAAATTCCTTCACCGCAACAGCCCTAATCAAAAACACGCTTTTAAAATAAATATCTTTTGTGTTTCACTGATGAGAGACAGAAATAACCTAGAATGACCAAGTGCAGTAAACGGTAACACTATTTGCACTATAACCAGTGTGTTTATTTATGGAATAATAAAGCACTATTCAGACGGGATTAGTTTTACAACTGAGTGCTGTAATTTTACCACAGGACGTCTGTAATAATAATGGCCGATTTGCACGTGATAAGATATCCCAGTAAAACCAGCAGAAGTGGGAGAGTAACTGGATATATCATGTCATCATTATGTCAATATGTGTGTATTACACTGCTTCCTGATATCATGTGCACAAACACATACAACCTATATTTATAAAACAGTTAGGTCCGGTTGAACTATATATTAATGACATTCAGATTGTATTATGTTGGTAATAGGCACCCCAGATAGCAACATTGTTTCGGCCCAGATCCGGCCCACATCTGGCACTTGTGGGATGCGGATCTGGCCCACATGCAGCGTGGAATGACGGCCCTTGGGTGGCCCACTCCTGTTTGCCAGATCTGGGCCACAAGTAGGCCATAGCAATGCCACATGTCAGCCAAGAGCAAAGAAATAAACCAGAACTGGACCTTATCTGAGCCACAAAATCTGTGTATATTAAATATTAAGTAATTGCAGCCTTAATAAGCCTGTTAACAAGCAGAATCACTGAAGGAAAGAAGAGAACAGAAAAAGAGACGAGCAGAAAAACAAGAACTGACTTCAGACACAGTCTTTGATGAAATCACTTGAAGATAAAAGAAGACATTAAATCTGTGAAGATCTCAGCAGAGGAGGAATAAACAACTCCACAAACAGCATTACCAGCTTCACTTATTACTAACCAGACTGACTGTATTTCTGTCAGACTTCTACAGAAGTTTTTATTGATAATTAACAGAGGTTTAACTCTGTTTCATTTTAAGTCACCATAACAGTGATTAGTGTTTCCATTAGTTGGGCTCTTAACTCTTAAAATATCTTTTGTCTTTTTTTGGCTGCTGTGACAGTGTGTTTAGTCAAACACATTTGCAGCAGCAGCAAAGAAAGCTAAAGTGAAATGAAATCATGTTATAATTGTTACCTGTTGATGGTTTTATAATCATCAAGAATTAACTTGATTCACTGATGTCTTTGGAATCTAACAATTGTGTTGATCCATTAATACACAGCATAATCCCAGTTTTAAATTAACTCTGCTCAGTGTTTATATGAGTCCACACTCAGAGAGTGTTAAATGAACACTGAAGCAGTGCTAAACTCAATGAGATCGTTAAGTGATTAATTGAGTGATAATTGAGCATTATTGAAGACACCTGATGTTAACGCAGAATCACTGAAGGAGAAAATCGTAATTGGTATGTTACCATTATGGAGATCAGTGTTTGCTTTAGTTGGGCTGTTGACCCTTAATTCATTAACTTTACATTTTGTTTGGCTGCTGTACCTGAGTTATAACAGCCTGATGAACAAAGAGAAAAGATGATATGATGGTGTTGGTTGTGTTTTAACATAATCAATAGTTGGCCTGAATCACTGAACTCATTGGGAGCATAATTTCAGAGTTAAATTTACCTTCTGGATTATAGCAGCACTGTTGTTGTAGAGTATGCATTTTTTAGCCTTTTCAATTAAATCCAAATTGGCAAATCAATTACAAAAAAAAAACCTTCTTAAAAAAATTTAGGTAGGCACATACAGACATCAAGAATTCGCGTATGAATCTCAACAGTGGTGACAAACAGATCACCTCTGAACATAAGCTCATTATTTATTCATGCAGCAATGCATGATGGGAGCCATGAATAAGATTTGATTGGTGGAATCTAGAATACACTGCAAAATGCTTTATAATTGTCACCATTGTTGAGATTCACAGGCTGATTCTTGATGTCTGTGTAAAAAAAAAAGAAAAAAAAGTTTTGTATGAGATTAAGTTTTAAGAAATTATTTGGATTACATTGTAAAAGTTACAAATATTATGCTTTTCAAGGATAGTGCTGCTATAAATAATAAAGTAAACGTAACTCAGTAATTGGGCTCCATATGAGTTCAGTGATTCAGGTCAAATGATTGTAAAATAATGATAATGTTAAAACACAACCAACACCATCATATCACCTTTTCTCTTTGTTCATCTGGCTGTTATAACTCATGTACAGCAGACAAACAAAATCTAGAGTTAATAGCTTAAAGTGTCAACAGCCCAACTAAAGCAAATACTGATCTCCACAATGGTAACAACAATTATGATTTTCTCCTTCAGTGATTCCGCTTGTTAACATCAGGTGTCTTCGATAATGTTCAATTATCATTCCATTAATCACTTAATTATCTCATTAACTTTAGCCCTGCTTCAGTGTTCATTTAACACTCTCTGAATGTGGACTCATATAAACACTGAGCAGTGTTAATTTAACACTGGGGGATTTTGCTGTGTATTAATGGATCAACACAATTGTTAGATTCCAAAGACATCGGTGAATCAAGTTATTTCATGATGATTATAAAACTATCAACAGGTAACCATTATAACCTGATCTCATTTCACTTTAGCTTTCTTTGCTGCTGCAAATGTGTTTGACTAAACACACTGTCACAACGGCCAAAAAAATACAAAAGATATATTAAGAGTTAAGAGCCCAACTAATGGAAACACTAATCACTGTTATGGTGACTTAAAATGAAACATAATAGAGTTAAACCTCTGTTAATTCTCAATAAAAACTTCTGTAGAAGTCTGACAGAAATAAAGTCAGTCTGGTTAGTAATAAGTGAAGCTGGTAATGCTGTTTGTGGAGTAGTTTAATCCTCCTCTGCTGAGATCTTCAGATGTATTGTCTTCTTTTCTCTTCAGTTGATTTCATCTAAGACTGTGTCTCAAGTCAGTTGTAGTTATTGTGTTTCTGCTCGCCTCTTTTTCTATTCTCTTCTTTCCTTCAGTGATTCTGCTTGTTAACAGGCTTGAGATGACTCCATATTTAATATACACAGATTTTGTGGCTCAGATAAAGTCCAGTTCTGGTTTATTTCTTTGCTCTTGGCTGACATGTGGCATTGCTATGGCCTACTTGTGGCCCAGATCTGGCAAACGGGAGTGGGCCACCCAAGGGCCGTCATTCCACGCTGCATGTGGGCCAGATCCGCATCCCACAAGTGCCAGATGTGGGCCGGATCTGGGCCGAAACAATGTTGCTATCTGGGACTTACCTAACACTAAAATATGTTTTGTGCCATCTAATGCTATTTCCAATCGTCTCCATACTTGATAAATTGTGGAAAACTACTTTTAAACAGGAAATGATGGAATATTTACGTGCCTATTTACAGCGGGTCTATTCGCACGGGATCAGCATTGCCTGAGGTCATTATTCCAGACTTTTTACTGAAGATAAGTCGCCGTAAACTTTACTGACATTGTTCGTAATGATTAACGTTACTGAGATGCACAGGAATATAATCACGAGAAGCTCTGGGAATAATTACTCTACCCCACCTCTCCATGTTACACTAGTCCCGGCTGAATAGGGCTTATGAGAACAAATACCAGTTTGCAGTATCAAACAGTATAATGGACTGGTTTTGTACTGGTAAAATAACTGGTAGTCCAGTTATCAAGTTTGTGTCGGGTCTCGCGTGAGAATCTCGTGTCACGTTCGCAATGTTCAATTAGCTGACAATTAATTTTATTTAATCGAGTAAATTCTTGTCGACAATTCTTGTCGATTAACCCGATAATCAATTAACCGTTTACATCCCTAATTGAGACCTGTAAAGCTGCGTCAGAAGTGTATGTGATATCAGACGAGTTCAGCTGTGTGTGTGTGTGTGTCTCCACACGCAGGTCAGCAAGACTGGAGCGGCCGGAGCCGTTCTGGATGAGGCTAAAAACATCAATAAGTCTCTGTCTTCTCTGGGAAACGTCATCTCTGCCCTTGCTGAAGGAACTGTGAGTGCACTCACACACACGCACACACACACGCACACACACACACACACACACCCATGCACACACACACGCACACACACACACACACACACACATGCACACACACACACACACACACACTCACACCAGGGACGGATTAAGGCGATGATGTGCCCTGGGCACGGATGTCTCAAAGGCCCCCTTCACCAATTTTTTGGACAACAGTGGGCAGGCAAGCCAGGCATTTTGAGGGGACCCCCGAGGGCTGGTCATTTAAACAATACGAAATGTTAATAATAACAGACGCAGCAACATCTCTGCATCCCCCAGTGTGGGGCCTCTCGCTCGTTACGCTCGTTATGCTTTTACCTTTTTCAAACTGGTGCAGCGCTTACTCGCGGTAGGTAGAAAATGCATGATTTGATTTGTTAAACATGAAAATAACTTATCCGTCTGGCATGGCAGCTCGCTCTAACTTTAACCTAGATAAATGCATATCCAAGTGCGTGTGCGGAGTGTGCAGCGCGCACTGCATGGCAGGCGTCGGCGCGAACACTTGCATTTTCCTATCAACAGTGGAAACAACTTGAAATAGGCCTACTCAATCTTTTCTGGTCATAGGCCTATACAGAAAAGAATAATGCATCAGTCGCAAGTAGCTACTTTTATTTTTGTAAACTCACAATAACAAGAAAACGTTGTGCTTTTGTAAAATCAAATAAAACAAACAGGGCGCGCTTTCATGGTCTCCGTGGCGTGAACTGGAGCGCGTCTCAAAAATGAACTGAAACACAGTGTATAGCCTCACATACATGATGAATATTTCTATATAAAGCTTGAAATGTCCACTTTTAAACGAAAAAATTCGAATCGAAAGCAAATACTGGCTGATTAGGCTGATATGATATGAAAGGTGCATTTCTCTCTAAAGGCGCATCCACTTTACAGCGGAGATATAGATATGATTGCAGCCGACACTGATTTAATTTATTTATTTATTATTATTATTAAACAATAAAAATGCCTAGTTTTTTTCCAGACATATATTATCATTAGCCTGCTTTTGCCGGTGCTTTGAGGCAATATTTATGCATGCGCTTGCTTGAGCGTGGAATAGGCTATACGCCTCCACTCAGTATTTAAGCAGAAATTAATATTAACTTGAGATTAGTCGACTAATTGCTTAAAGGAATGACTACTAGTCGTCGACTAGAAAATCTTTAGTCAATGGCAATTCTAATCAATGCATTTAGGCTAGTTGACATTTATTTAGTTTTATTTAGTAGCCTAATTCTAGTATCCAGGTCTTTACGTTAAATTAGTTGAGTTAACAATTAGTTAATGAACTAAAATAATAAAACAAAGATTAAATTAAGATGCTATATAGCATTGCTTGTTCCACCACAAAAGACACTTTTTAAGGTGACAATCCGTTACACATTTGAAGATTTACTGTATCTTGAAGATTGTTGTATTGTATTATATCTTCTGTTATAAAGATGAAGATTGACATTTCGTTAAAAAAATAAGCCCATAGGCTACTATTGTAAAACATAAACAACTTAGCCTATGTTCTGCCTTGGTTGTGGTTTTAAACTCATTTTTGTTTTGGTTTTTGAGTAACCGTCTTCTGCGTGACTTTTATATTACGCAATGCTTTTCACTCGCCTCTAGATGTCCTTCTCAACAGCGCAGCAATACATTAAAATTATTTATTTGATTTATTTAGTAGTTAATACTTTGCAACTGCAAAAAAAATCACATTATTCCTCAATATTTAACACAATTTTACTGAAAATAAAAATAAAATAAAAATAATTATTTGAAAAGAATAGACACAGTACATTTTACAGGGCCAGTAGGCCCGTGCGTTAATCCGTGCCTGACTCACACGTCTCTCCTGTGTGAGCAAAGACGCACGTGCCGTACCAGGACATTAAGACGACACACACAAACACGCGCACACGCACACACACGCACACACACACACACGCGCACACAAACACAAACACGCGCACACACTCACACGTCTCTCCTGTGTGAGCAGAAGACTCATGTGCCGTACCGGGACAGTAAGACGACACAGACACACACACACACACACACACACACACACACTAGGGCTGTCACTTTTGAGAAAAATCTAATTCGAACGGATATCGAATATCAAGCAATGTATTCGAATATATTCGAATATCTACGAGCGCCCCCCACCCCCACCAAAAAAAAAAAAAAAAAACACCGTAACGGAAATCACACATTTATTAACAGTCTGACAGTCATAACCAGGACTCAGGCCTGTCTGAACTTTTTTTTTTTTTACTTAATGTTTTAAACAGCAAGTTATCAACTTAATCTATATGAAGTGTCACTATGCATAGCAAATCACAAAATTACAAATAGGCTACTTATGGGAAAAAAATGAAGCAGAACAGCACGGCACAAACAATAAAGTGACAACTTAAACAGCAGCAGGAGTAAGGCCTATATAGCCTAGCCTAATTCATTTCTTAATATTGTTTGCTAGAAACACCAATTTATCAACTTGATCTGGATCAAGTGCGGCTCTCTTTTTATTGACGATGTTCCCCGCGGTGGAGAACACGCGCTCGGAGCGCGCACACGTGCCTGGCACACACAGGTATTTGCGCGTCTTTACATGGACCCTTATAATCGGATTGACGGCTCAATCGGACTTAAAAACCTTCATGTAAACACCTTAATCGATCCGATAGTTTACTACTTTTGTAATCCGATCGAGAGAACATGTAAACACTTGATCGAATTGAAAACCGAAACTAAAAGGACTGCGCATGTGCAATGACGTGTTACGCACGGAGCGAGCTGCTCTTCCTGTTGAATAAAGTGAATATAAATGAGTGTTCCGTTAGAAAAAATTGAAAAAATCTAATTTCACTCAGCGTCTGTGAAGTGGAGCAGGACAACGTCCCACCAGTACTTGTTTCAGATTCTCATCCACAGACGACTGGTTTTGGGCGCAGGGTTTTACTCCGTGATCAATATAAGCAGCAGCACGGCAAATCATGCTCATCGTCTCCAAATCATGACCAGAGACGGATACATATTAAGTCTGCTGTTTAAAACAAATAAAAAACCAAGAGAGGAGAATAGTTATGCGCGAACAGCGGCATATTCGTGCATGTCAAAAAATAAATTCCGATTTGAATCTTGTGACATATAACGCGCACATTACTTTATGTATCGTTCATGTAAACACCATGTTTGGATTCATCAATCGGATTGTCCATTTCCAGACACTACTTTTTAGATGAGTTGGGGCAGAAATGATCCGCTCAGGCTGGCCGTTCTGTGCGTTATCTTCCATTTTCAAAACAGGGTGGCTATTGGCTATTATTCGCTTGATTTGGTCATGAGCTTACGCTACAATACGTTTAGAGTGCCCGCTACTGGATGAGATGGCAAACAATAAAATAAAAAACAAACGGTCTAATCATAGACTGTAAAAAATGCGCTAAACATGGCACTTTAAAAACCGGTTAGTTTATTTATAGTTCGATTACGGATATTTCACGTCATGTTCGAATGCATTTTCGAATATCGAATAAAAAGTGACAACCCTAACACACACACACACACACACACACACACACTCACTCTGCACGTCTCTCCTGTGTGAGCAGAAGACTCATGTGCCATACAGGGACAGTAAGACGACACACACACACACACACACACACTCTGCACGTCTCTCCTGTGTGAGTAGAAGACTCATGTACCGTACCGGGACAGTAAGACGACACAGACACACACACACACACACACACACACTCACTCTGCACGTCTCTCCTGTGTGAGCAGAAGACTCATGTGCCGTATCGGGACAGTAAGACGACACAGACACACACACACACACACACACACACACACTCACTCTGCACGTCTCTCCTGTGTGAGCAGAAGACTCATGTGCCGTACCGGGACAGTAAGACGACACAGACACACTCACACACACACACACACACACACACACACTTTACACATATCTCTGTAAAGCTGCTTTGAAACAATTCATTGTTAAAAGCGCTATATAAATGAAGATGACTTGACTGACTTGACTTGACACACACACTCACTCTGCACGTCTCTCCTGTGTGAGCAGAAGACTCATGTGCCGTACCGGGACAGTAAGACGACACACACACACACACACACACACACACACACACACACACACACACACACACACACACTCACACACACACACACACACACACTCACTCTGCACGTCTCTCCTGTGTGAGCAGAAGACTCATGTGCCGTACCGGGACAGTAAGACGACACACACACACACACACACTCACTCTGCACGTCTCTCCTGTGTGAGCAGAAGACTCATGTGCCGTACCTGGACAGTAAGACGACACAGACACACACACACACACACACACTCACTCTGCACGTCTCTCCTGTGTGAGTAGAAGACTCATGTGCCGTACCGGGACAGTAAGATGACGAGGATCCTGCAGGACTCTCTGGGAGGGAACTGCCGGACCACCATGTTCATCTGCTGCTCTCCCTCCAGCTACAACGACGCCGAGACCAAGTCCACGCTGATGTTCGGACAGCGGTAACACATCACACACACTGCCCTGCACATCACAATACACACATATCAGGCACAACAGTTAACAATGTGTTCCCTCATTGTAATAATTTCTTCCCTTGTTTTAGTACAATGTGGCCACAGTTCACTAAACAAGGGAACAAATTAATTTGTAAAACATTACATCTAGATAAAACAGTAATCTTTATTGTATTTCTTTCTGAGTTCAGTTACGTATTGAAAAATGCTCTAGGGTTGTGCAATTGAACTGAAGTCTGACCAAACTGAATTTTGGTTTCAATTTCAGTTCCCTTTCGAGAGGTCTCTCGTATTGCATAAGGGTAGCTTACGCTATGGGAAAACTCCTTTTCTCAAGAATATTGAAGCGATAAACGCAGTCAGCTGCACAGCAGACACAGATGAGCGACTAGAGCGGTCATTGGCTGTGCCGCGGCAACTGCACAAACCTATGGCGAGGCGGCTCAGACGCGAGAACCAATCAGGCTGCTTCGTGCCAGAGTCCACCAGAATGGGTGTGGCCTGAGCCTTTATAATAGCCCGTTCAGCCAAAGGTAGTCAGATTTTGTCTCCTTTAGCGAACTCACCACTTCGCTGATCTAAGTCAAATGAAAACGCACCTCACATCAGAGCACGCTCACTATTCAGCGCCTGGCGGCATCCTTCAGAGCGGGCGCGCGTGCGCCTCTCGAGATTTCAGAGGATGTTGGGTCTTATGGCCTCAGCATCATGAGTACTCCAGCTCGGACTACTGCACATGCGTCCTCTCCAGCGCTGGCTAAAACTATTAAAACCCGTGTACCAACTCACACATGGCCATCTGCCCACTTACGAATCAGAGCAAACCACGGCTGTATCAGAGCCCTGGCTCCCTGGAAAGCAGCCGACTGGTCACAGTCGGGAGTGAGTATGTGTGTGGTTACAAAGAGAAAAGTGATCTCGACAGATGCCTCTAACCTAGGTTGGGGGGCCCTTTACGAGGGCAGGCCTATCTCTGGCCTATGATCAAGCCCGGAGAGGCGCCTTCATATAAACTGTCTAGAGATGAGAGCGGTTGCTCAATCACTGAAAGCTTTTCTCCCGTACTTAAAAGGCCACCACGTCCTGGTCCATACGGACAACATGGCAGTGGTGTCCTACATAAATCGCCAGGGCGGTCTCAGGTCAAGCAACCTGCACTCCATGGCCAAGAGCCTCATTATATGGGCTCAGCACAACCTGCACTCCCTAAGGGTGGCGCATGTGCCAGGCATTCTGAACCAGGGTGTGGATATGTTATCCAGGGACAATGATCCCCCAGAGGAATGGTCTCTCTACCCAGCTAATATGGAGCATCTTCGGTGAGGCAGAGGTGGACTTCTTCTCCTCAGAAGACAACGCTCATTGCCAAACATTTTTCTCAAAGAGCAGGGACGCGCTTGCCCACGATTGGCCACTGTATGCATTCCTTCCAGTCACGATGATACCACAGGTCATCGAACGGATCAGGGAGAGCAAGTGTGCAGTGCTACTAATAGCACCACTCTGGAAAACCCAGTTATGGTTCTCCGAGCTAGCACAGCTGCTGGAAACAGCCCCGTGGCCGGTTCCGCTGAGGAGAGATCTCCTCACGCAGGCAAACGGGAAAATCTGGCATCCCCGTCCCAACTTGTGGGCCCTTCGTGTATGGCCCCTCAACGTGTACCCGGGTGTCTCCCAAAAGGGGTGTTGAAAACGATTATAGAAACAAGAGCGCCGTCGACTAGACGCCTCTACACTCAGAAATGGGTGGTATTCTCTGGCTGGTGCGCTGCAAGGAGCCTGGACCCCTATTCGTGCGAAGTATCGAGTATACTCTCCTTCCTGCAAGAGCTTTTGGATGCGGGTCGGACCCCCTCCAAGCTCAAAGTGTATGTGGCAGCCATAACAGCTTCTCACGCTCTTGTGTCCGGTCAATCACTAGGAAGAAACAACCGTCGTATGCTTCCTTAAAGGGGCAAGGAGGCCGAACCCTCCGCGACCCCCTTCTGTGCCTATCAGAGGTGTTCATGGAGAGTTCAGAGGTGAACTATCCATGGTCCTGGAAGCAATGAAAGGTGCCACATCGAGCCGCTTTGGTCTGCGGACCTGAAGCACCTCTCGCTCAAAACCGCTCTCTTCCTGGCGCTCACGTCAGTCAAGAGAGTGGGTGATTTGTCAAGCGCTGTCGATAAGTGCTTCCTGCCTTGAGTTTGGGCCTAATGACTCCAGGGTCGTTTTTAAGCCAAGGCATAGTTATGTTCCTAAAGTGCTCTCAACTCCGTTCAGAGCGCAGGTTATTTCACTAGCAGCTCTTTCCTCGCCAGAGGACGAGAGAGACGCTTATTTACTCTGTCCCGCCAGGGCTATCAGAGTTTAGTTGGAGCGTTCTGCCTCATTCAGACAGTCGGAACAGCTCTTTGTATGCTTTGGCCGCTGCACAAAAGGGCTCGGTGTGACACAGCGGAGATTATCGTGCTGGATGATTATCGTGCTGTAGATCTTACAGCGGCATTTGATACAGTTGATCATAACATTCTCATTGGTCGTCTTAGAAATCAGGTTGGTATTCAGGGCTTAGCCCTGAAATGGTTCTCTTCCTATTTGAAGGATAGGACTTTTTCAGTCAGTTTAGGGGATTATTTTTCTTCTGTTGCCCCTCTTGTGTGTGGGGTTCCACAGGGCTCTATACTGGGACCAATTTTATTTTCCCTTTATATGCTCCCTCTAGGCTCGATTTTTGAGAAATTTGGGATTCAGTATCACCTGTATGCGGATGATTCTCAAATTGACTTACCACTGAAACATGGGCATAAATGTGCCATTCAGTCTCTCCGTGCATGTTTGGCCGAAGTTAAGTGTTGGCTTGCGAATAACTTTCTCCAATTAAATGAGGATACGATTTTATTTGGAAATAAGGGCTGTGTGGATGATGACTGCCTGGGGTTGTTTCCTGGGAAAAAAATGTCTAGCGTGAGGAACCTTGGTGTCATTTTTGACTCTGAGCTTAAATTTGTCCGGCAAATCAATGCTGTCGTTAAGAATAGTTTTTTCCATCTTAGATCAATTTCTAAATTGAAATCTATCCTTTCTTTTGACGATATGGAGAAGGTTGTTCATGCCTTTGTGTCATCCCGTTTGGATTATTGTAATGTATTGTATCTGGGTGTGAGTCTGGCCTCTCTCTCCCGTTTGCAGCTCGTTCAGAACTCAGCTGCCAGACTTTTAACGGGCACTAAGAAGAGAGAGCACATTACTCCGGTTTTAATTAAATTACATTGGTTACCCATACGATACAGAATTCAATACAAAGCGTTGCTGTATGTTTTTAAGTCTCTGCATGGCCTAGCACCTGAGTATGTTACTGATTTAATCAGCCGCTGTCAATCCAGTAGATCTCTGCGCTCTAATGATCAATTGCTTCTCATGGTTCCGCGATCCCGTTTAAAATGTAAAGGTGATCGGGCATTCTCTGTTGCAGCTCCTAGGCTCTGGAATGACCTTCCTCTGTCTGTAAAAACTTGTCCTTCATTGGGTGCTTTTCAGAGTGCGCTTAAAACTTACTTGTTCTCTTTAGCATTTGACAATGCTTTGTAAGTTTTTATGTCATATGTTTGCATTGTTTTTATGTCTTTGTTTTTACTTTTTTTCTTTTATACCCTCTGTACAGCACTTTGGTTCCACTTGTGGTTTTGAAAGTGCTCTATAAATAAAGTTGAGTTGAGTTGAGTTGGATATTAGACGCTATTGCACTAGCTTATGAGTCTAAGGGCCTTCATTGCCCCTTAGGCGTCAGAGCTCATTCCACGAGAGGCATAGCCTTGTGCGGTGGCCGGCTAGACCTCGTCGTCCACATTTATCAGATTTTATAACCTGGAAGTTCCCGCTTTACAAGCAAGGGCTTACCGTTCACAAAAGACGAGTGCCAATTACTAGTAACGCTTTAGTTTTAACGGTGAAAAAGTGTGTGGTAAGAAGTAGCTAAACATTTATTATATGACAACGAATTAATGAAATGTTATATTATTTGAAATGTTCATTGACCAACAGTAGTAATCTGCAAAAATGATGCAATATAATCAACTTTTTCTATTTATCAAATTTCGCCATTTTTAATTGAAAAATGCTATAATGATTAGCCTACATGATTAATGTAATTCATAACTGAATGTGACAACACAAAGAACGTTTCGCGTTTTCGACATATTAGATTAAGAATAAATGTGTGCATATTTTAAATATCTTTTGCAAAAAGACGTTTGTTTTTCTTTATTCCCTTAGATCACTTTAAATCCTTTAATGAATTAATTCCTTAAAATAAAAAATAAAAAATGACCCAGTCGTTGTTAAATATCCACTGACCCTAGAACCGCGGTGTGAAAGTGTTTTTGTGTTTGGAAACATTGTGAGTGTTGAACATACTGTCAGTGTAAATCAATGGCAGATCTTAGCTTGAATTAACTGCAGATCATTGAGGCAGAGAAGAGAAGAAAACACAATGCAGTGCTGATTTCTGAGAGCCGTGTGTGTGTGCAGTGCTAAGACCATCAAGAACACGGCCTCCATTAACCTGGAGCTGACGGCGGAGCAGTGGAAGAGGAAGTATGAGAAGGAGAAGGAGAAGAGCAAGAGCTTGAGGGACACCGTCCAGAGGCTGGAGCTGGAGCTGAGGCGCTGGCGCAGCGGTGAGACCCAACACTGCTCTCATTCACACCGCCTTCAGAGGCTCCTATGATGCCCCAAATCACAAGATATAATATAACCCTCATGTCCCCAGACTGTGTATGTGAATTTTAGCTCAATATACCGCACAGATATTTGTATAGCATGTTAAAATTGTCACTTTTTGAGGGTGAGATACACACATTGTAACGGATCCACTGGAGGCAAGTGTAGATGATAGAACCCAAGTGCAGTTTATTACAAATAAGATTAAACATGAAACAAAAACATGGTGTGGCATGAAAAACACAAAAACAAGGACATGAACATAAACTTAAAAACAGCTGAGGTTACAGTGAAATAAAACTTGACCAAGACACATGGCAAACACGAGGGCTTAAATACGCAGACTAATGAAAGGGACACCTGTGAACAATGAACAGACGAGCAACCAATGACAAGACACATGGCAGGATCACATGACAAACAGGGAATCACATGACAGACATGGAACATGACATGAACAAACCAAAACGTGACACACAAACACACATCATAGACTTATTATTGACTCATTATACCACCCCTTTAAGTGTATGCAAGAAGATCATGGTCAGGGTGTTCACCGTCAGCACTAAAGGCCAGTCATAGCGCCGCGATCGGCTGATAGGAGCAGGTCTGGATAACTCTGATCTGACGAGGCAGCTTCAGGGTCCACACTCTTGCTGTAAAGCCTCACTCATAGCGTTCCTCTGCAGAAGTGAGTGTAGTTGGAAAAGATACAGCTTCTTTATATAAAAGAGAGATTAGAACTAGTTAGCTCTATAATGGACTAATCCTCTCAAGCCTACTTAAAATATTAACTCAAAAGATAACTGAAAAGTTTGATAAAGTGACAAATGGGACACCGAACAGATTCAAGTGTGCCACTTTATTCATCAATAAAAAATCTGGAAATATGTAATACTATAAGACGTTAAAAAAAAAGAGTGCTGGGCAACGATTAATCGCATTCAAAATAAACATTTCTGTTTTATATAATATATGTGTGTGTGTAGTGTGTATAATTATTTTGTATACACACATATGTATGTATATATTTAAAAACACAAACTTTTGGATGGATGGATTTGGATGCGATTAATCGTTGCCCAGCCCTAATTTTCTTATATATATATATATATGTGTGTAATTTAATGTTATGTATCTGATGTGATTACATCATAACCCTTCCTGTTATTCTTACTCAAATACCAGTTGTAAGTCACTGCTAAGACACTAACCCCGCCTGATGTGTCGTGTGATGTGTTGTGTGCTGTGTTGTGTGCTGTCCTCTGATGTGTCGTGTGACGTGTTGTGTGCTGTCCTCTGATGTGTTGTGTCCCGCAGGAGAGCACGTCCCGGAGACGGAGCAGACGGACGCTGATGTGGTGAAGCTGGAGGCCGGCGAGGACACGGCTCTGGATAACGAGAGGTCCTCATCGGAGCGCCAGCGGGAGAGAGAGAGAGACTCAGACTCCTCCTCTATAGTGGTGCGCATCTCCGAGGAGGAGCGGCAGAAATATGAGGAAGAGATCCGCAAACTCTACCGCCAGCTGGACGATAAGGTCAATTACATGATCACTCGCGCAGACAACTCAAATCAACACTCACTGCATCTGTCAGATCAGTATCAGAGTACAGTATCAACAGTCCAACATTCATTCAGACAGCTTCAACATTTCCCACATTATCACAGTTTATTCGCTATAGTTTAGAAACTGGTGATAAATATGAGCAAAACTCAGAGTTCTCAGATCAGTGGGTATTTCACTGGTTTTGTCCGTCCTTCTGTTAGACTCACATGAATTATGTTGAATATCTGTCAGCTGTTAAATTTAACTACACAATTAGATAATACCAGTTTAGCTCAACCAGTGACCAAGCAATGCTTCATGTTGTTCAGTGTGTGTGTAAAAAGAGTAGGGCTGTTTTCGCCTAAGGATTTTCATAGTCGAATCTGTTTCGTTAGATTTTGCCGTAGTCGACTGATAGTCTAACCTTTTTTTTTTTTTTTAGATAGCAGCTAGACGTTCGGTTGAATAACTGTTCATCGTCTGTTATAGGACAACTCGCTCTACGTTTATTTAAAATGAACAGCAAGACAACTAGAAGTGAATGTGCTTTCCATTAAATGAATCCTTAACAAAAAACAAAAAAACAAACAAAAAAAACGTTGCAATGAACGTGCTTTGTTTTAAATAAATCACACACATTAAACAAAACCTTAACAAAAAAACTTTGCAATGAACTTTGCAATTTAGACGCGCAAACTGCGAGCCGGTGCGGTGAGACGTAGCCTACATGCTCGGGCAGATTCGGCTTGAAGTCGTTCATCCTCGGATGCGGCGTCGCGCGCGCTGTTACAAAAAAAGCTGTGCACACAGCCAAGCGAAATGGGGTCTTGCCGGGCTTGCGCACCCAACGCGTCATTTTTTGCCGCGCGCACCTTCGCGCTCGTGCAGACGCGTCGAGTATAAACAAGGCTTTACTCCGTGTCAGCGCGCGCTCTGATCGGTAAGGTGCACAGACCTCTCCCGAATCATCTCCAGCACTCAGCCTCCGACGCACCACTAACTCCGCCTCCGCTTCCCTCATAAGATGATATTAGTATTTAAACATTCTCTATGATAAAAAATGTTTGTAAAAAATATTTTAATAGCACGGTTTTGGCGGTTATAGAGTTCTAATGACGGTGTTCAACTATAACCGTCGGTCTCACGGTTATATAATAACCGTCACACCCCTATTGGTTACATAACACTTCCCTACTATTCGACTATGAGGTTCATAGTCGAATCAGAGCTCTCCGAATCGAATCGTCGAACCCTCGACTATTAGAAGTCAGCCCTAAAAAAGAGCATTAGCAATTACAGAAAACACACTTCAGCAAAACATGATCAGCTCAAAGTGTCCGAATCATTTGTGGTCACAAATGTTGTATAAATGTTACTAGTAGTCACTGTATAAAGAATATTTGGGTATAATATGTCACAGTTTACTTTTGCTCTCCTCACTTAAATAAATGAACTATAGTGTCCTGCACACACTAGTAAAAAAACATCATAAATGATATCTGGTGTCTGAATAATGTTTGGTTTGACTGTATATGCATAACTAGATAAACAGGACTTTATTGCTGTCAGTGTTTGTCTTACCCTTGTGTTCTCCACTGTGTTTCAGGATGATGAGATCAATCTCCAGTGTCAGCTGTCGGAGAAGCTGAAGGAGCAGATCCTGGATCAGGATGAGGTCAGAGGTCATCTGGGTCATGCTAATTATTAATATATGAATTACTCCAATAGTGAAAGGCTTACATTTAAAAGGTTTAAATTCAGATAATAAACAAAAAAAAAGTACAAAACATACAAGATGAGTCAGCACACTGTAGTAATGCCATCCATCTTCTTCCGCTTATCCGGGGCCGGGTCGCGGGGGCAGCAGTCTAAGCAGAGATACCCAGACTTCCCTCTCCCTAGACACTTCCTCCAGCTCTTCCGGGGGGACACCGAGGCGTTCCCAGGCCAGCCGGGAGACATAGTCCCTCCAGCCTGTCCTAGGTCTTCCCCGGGGTCTCCTCCCAGTGGGACGCGCCCGGAACACCTTTCCGGGAAGGCGTCCAGGAGGCATCCGGAACAGATGCCCGAGCCACCTCAGCTGACCCCTCTCGATGTGGAGGAGCAGCGGCTCTACTCTGAGCTCCTCCCGAGTGACCGAGCTTCTCACCCTATCTCTAAGGGAGCGCCCAGCCACCCTGTGGAGAAAGCTCATTTCGGCCGCCTGTATCCGGGATCTTGTCCTTTCGGTCATGACCCAAAGCTCATGACCATAGGTGAGAGTAGGAACGTAGATCGACCGGTATATCGGACCCCATACTCCCGGAGGACCCTCCACAGGCCGCCGCGAGGGACACAATCGAATGCCTTCTCCAAATCCACAAAGCACATGTGGATTGGTTGGGCAAACTCCCATGAACCCTCCAGCAACCTGTAGAGGGTATAGAGCTGGTCCAGTGTTCCGAAGCCTGGACGAAAACCGCACTGTTCCTCCTGAATCCGAGGTTCCACCATCGGCCGTATTCTCTTCTCCAGTACCCTGGCATAGACTTTCCCAGGGAGGCTGAGAAGTGTGATCCCCCTGTAGTTGGAACACACCCTCCGGTCCCCCTTCTTAAAAAGAGGGACCACCACCCTGGTCTGTCATCCCAGAGGCACTGTCCCCGACCACCACGCGATGCTGCAGAGGCGTGTCAGCCAAGACAGCCCCACAACATCCAGAGACTTGAGGTACTCAGGGCGGATCTCATCCACCCCCAGTGCCTTACCACCGCAGAGTTTGTTGACTACCTCAGTGACTTCAGCTAGGGTGATGGACGAGTCCACCTCTGAGTCCTCAGCCTCTGCTTCCTCAATGGAAGATGTGACGGCGGGATTGAGGAGATCCTCAAAGTATTCCTTCCACCGTCCGACGACATCCCCAGTTGAGGTCAGCAGCTGCCCAGCTCCACTGTAAACAGTGTTGGTAGGGCACTGCTTCCCTCCGGACAGTTTGCCAGAATCTCTTCAGCCGATAGTCCTAATCCATGGCCTCACCGAACTCCTCCCAGGCCAGAGTTTTTGCCTCCACAACCACCCGGGCTGCAGTCCCTTTGGCCTGCCGGTACCCATCAGCTGCCTCAGGAGTCCCACAAGCCAACCAGGCCCGATAGGACTCCTTCTTCAGCTTGACGGCATCCTTTACTTCCGGTGTCCACCACCGGGTTCAGGGATTGCCGCCTTGACAGGCACCGGAGACCTTATGGCCACAGCTCCGAGCGGCCGCTTCGGCAATGGAGGTGGAGAACATGGTCCACTCGGACTCAATATCTCCAGCCTCCCTCGGGATCCGGTCGAGGCTCCGCCGGAGGTGGGAGTTGAAGATCTCTCTGACAGGAGACTCGGCCAAACGTTCCCAGCAGACCCTTACAGTACGCGTGGCTCTGCCGAGTCTGTCCAGCTTCCTCCCCCGCCATCGGATCCAACTCACCACCAGGTGGTGATCAGTTGACAGCTCCGCCCCTCTCTTCACCCGAGTGTCCAAGACATACAGCCGCAGGTCAGATGAAATGACCACAAAGTCGATCATCGACCTACGGCCTAGGGTGTCCTGGTGCCACGTGCACTGATGGATACCCTTATGCTTGAACATGGTGTCCGTTATGGACAAACTGTAACTAGCACAGAAGTCCAATAACTGAACACCGCTCAGGTTCAGGTCAGGGGGGCCGTACCTCCCAATCACGCCCCTCCAGGTGTCACTGTTGTTGCCCACGTGGGCGTTGAAGTCCCCCAGTAGAACGACGGAGTCCCCAGTCGGAGCACTTTCCAGCACTCCTCCCAGAGACCCCAAGAAGGCCGGGTCCTCTGCACTGCCGTTTGGCCCATAGGCACACACGACAGTGAGATGCCTATTCCCAATCCGTAGGCGCAGGGAAATGACCCAGAGTGGGCAACTCCAGAGTGGTGAAGAGTCCATCCTCTCTAAAGGAGTGTGGTTCCAGAGCCCAAGCCGTGCGTAGAGGTGATCCTGACTATCTCTAGTCGGAACCTCTCAACCTCACGCACAATCTCAGGCTCCTTCCCCGTCAGCGAGGTGACGTTCCACGTCCCTAGAGCTAGTTTCCGTGTTCAGGGATCGGCCCGATCCTCTCAGCACCGGCCCCTTACGGTTCCTCCTGTAGGTGGTGAGCCCAGCCGAACCCCGTAGGGGGAGGCCCGGCCACCAGGCGCTCGCATACGAGCCCCAACCCCGGGCCTGGCTCCAGGGTGGGGGCCCGGCTGCGCCATACCGGGCGACGTCACGGTCCTCGATTTCATTTTACTCATAAGGGTTTTTTGAACCGCTCTTAGTCTGACCCGTCGCCTTGGACCTGTTTGCCTTGTGAGACCTTACCAGGGGCATATAGCCCCAGACAACATAGCTCCTAGGGTCGTTCGGGTACTCAAAGCCCTCCACCACGTTATGGTGGCAGTTCAAGGAGAGGTTAGGGTTAGGGTTACTGTAGTAATGCTCCCAAATTATTCAGTGATCTCTCCAAAAACAGAACCATGTGTCATTTCATTAGATCAATAAAATGAAAGATTAGTAGATGCAGACATTACATTAGCATGAGCTGCAAATTAGGGTTATCAACAGGGCTGAACAACTGCATTAGAATTTTATCGAAATTTTAATTATATTGACATATTATTTCTGGAAAAATACTAGTGAACAACAGTCAATAAGCACAAACCAAGCACTGGATGTTTTTTTTTGTCCCTGATGCATGTAGGATCGAGGATCATTCAGGTGTCTATTTTACTTCAGCCAAGTATTCAAAGTCCAAATCTTCGTTTGACAGCCTCACTGCAAATCAGCAAACGTTACATGTAATTAACAAAAACTTTTTGAAAATTCTGCCTTTCCCCATGTTTAAGTGCTATAATCCGGTGCTTCTACCAACACAGAACACATGTAAAGTGAAACCCAGTAACTCTGTTCTGGTGAGTCTTTCTCTGAGAGCATGTTATAAAATAAGCCGATCAGATTTCGCTCCTTCTGGCGTATGAAGAGGATCTTATTATAATATTCCCGGTCCTTAATCTGCATGTTTACACAGACCAGTCGACATTTGGTTCCGCGAGCGCCAACAGAGACCAGTTCTAACGCACTGGAGAAGATCCAGCAAAGCCTGAAACTGTTCTGTGGTCGAGCACAGACGACACTGAACACTATTGACCAGAACATGTCACCGCTGTCTTATAAACACCTCAGGAACTGTGGACACTTGTGGAAGAGTTCAACATGATGAGGAGATGATCAGTGTAACTCCACAACAACTACAGAAATGTCTCCGCTAACATTCAGAAACGTGTAAAAGTGAAGCTCTCCCTGAGTCTCTCCGTAAGGCTGCACTCGCTGCTGTTACTCCTGATTCTGGATCAGTGAGATCGGCCTGTGTTGTTATTGCCGGAGTCTCTGAAGCTCGTGTAAAGGCTCCGCCCTCTTCTGAATGGAGGCGGAGCTAAAGCTCATTTGCATTTAAAGAGACACACACTAAAACGGCGTGTTTTTGCTCACACCCAAAAGGGGGCAAATTTGACAAGCTATAATAAATGATCTGGTATTTTGAGATGAATTTCACACACATTCTGGAGACATCATAGATTTATATTACATCTGGTGAAAAGAGGCATAATATGTCACCTATAATGGCTGTTGTGTGTGTGTGTGCAGCTGCTGGCGTCGACACGTGGCGACTCTGATAAGGTGCAGACGGAGCTGGGCCGCCTGCAGACGGAAAGCGAGAGCGCTAAAGCTGAGGTGCGGGAGGTGTTGCAGGCGCTGGAGGAGCTGGCCGTCAACTACGACCAGAAGAGCCAGGAGGTGGAGGACAAGAGCCTGCATAACAAGCAGCTCGCAGAGCAGCTCAGCCACAAGATGGTGCGTGTGTGTGTGTGTGTGTGTGTGTATGTGTGTGTGTGTGTGTGTGTGTGTGTGTGTGTGTGTGAGGACAAGAGCCTGCACAACAAGCAGCTCGCAGAGCAGCTCAGCCACAAGATGGTGCGTGCGTGTGTGTGTGTGTGTGTGTGTGTGTTCACTGCTGCCTCTGCTCTACAGGCCAGCCTGATGGAGCTGGAGGCGGAGCTTGCTCAGATGCAGGAAGTGAGCTCACAGCAGAGGAAGCGCATCGCTGACGTGTTGAACGGGCTGATGAAGGACCTCAGCGAGTTCAGCTCCATCGTCGGCAACGGCGAGATCAAGCTCGTAAGAGTCCTCAGATTACTGAGAGCTTTTATTTATTTATTAGTATGATTACTATTTTTCAGTTACAGACAAGTACGTTGCAAAAATACAAGACAAATACAAGGCATTGTAAGACAGCTCAGAGTGTATAAAACAAAGAATAACAACAATAACTAAAATATAAAATGAACATGTATGTACAAATTTTAATAAAACTAATAATAAAAATTAAAAAAAACTTTTAGAGCTTATGAGAGCTTATCATTTTCACGAATTCCTTTTATTTTTGTCCCCATAAATTTTTCTGAATTCCGTTTTAGTGGTTAAATTACATTTTAGTACTCAAAAAGCATGTATTTTCAGAATTCAGAAACATTTTACAGGGGAAAAAATACATTTGTTCTAGAAATAAGCTCTAGAAAATAAGCTCTAGAAGTTTTTAGTTTTTTAATTGACATAATGAAACGTATACAATTTAGGAATAAATTATCACATTTTTTGTGCCCCTATGATATACGATTAATTTAAATTCTGTGTTTTCCGTTTTCAATTTACTGGATTCGATTTTAATGGTTTAATTAACAAAAAGCATGTCTAATCAATTAAATTCATAAAACTTTACTTATTTCATTTTTTTTTTTTTTTATCAAAAAAAAGTTGTAATCAAATGAAGGCATAAAACATAAAAAGTTTTATTAATCTTTAAAAATTAAGATTTAACAATCACTTAATTTTTTTGCATAAAAAGTGGCACAACAGAGGATTACTGTTAAAAAAACATGGAAGAAATATTGTGACAGTTATTAAAAGAGGGGCACGGCAGGGCTAAGAGAGTGTGTGCCGTCAGCAGATTGTTATGCAAAAGAAACTCTTCAGGGTAACACAAGACCCCACTGCGTAATTATCCCACTTATCATGCAGATACTTGCCAATAATTGTCAATAATAAAACTCAAGTCAATAATTGAACTCAAAATATTAATTTGACATATTTGATATATTTGATCGCAGTATGTTCACTCAGTATGAGTTATGAAGAGAGACCAACAGTGTATCAAAATATTAGCTTCTGGGGGGGGGGGGGCCTTGAAAATATTTTTCTCAACACAAAAGTTTTCTCAACACTTTCCTTTAGATGCAGATGTGTATGTGTCTGTAACGTGTGTGTGTGTGTGCAGCCGGTGGAGATCAGCGGCGCGATCGAGGAGGAGTTCACTGTGGCGCGGCTCTACATCAGTAAGATCAAGTCTGAGGTGAAGTCGATGGTGAAGCGCTGCCGGCAGCTGGAGAACATGCAGCTCGAGTGCCATCGCAAGATGGAGGAGACCAGCCGAGAGCTGTCGTCCTGCCAGCTGCTCATCTCACAGGTGTGTGTGTGTGAGTGTGTGCGTACGTTAAAGAACTGTCATACATAGAAAGTAGACAGTAATGAAAAGTTATTAGCGTAGGCCGTGTGTTGATGTCCAGTGTTGCTGAGCAGAAATACATAATCATGTTTCTCTTGGTTCCCTCAAAGTTGCGTGGGATTTTCTCCTCAGCGTAAAGATTAAGAGCTCCCTCTATCACTGTTTTCCATGTTCGTAGAGTTAGTTTCTGGAGTAAATATATAGGCTATAATCTGTGTGTTTACACAGCCTTTTTAAAAATGGCGTGTGCTGGTGTTTCACATGCGTTCGGCCAATCAGCGAACACTAACGTCACTGTAGTTCCTATAGCACTGGTTTAGATGACTCAGAAGTAGGAGTAAATTAGTTCCTCCAAAAGGAGTTCCTAGAACTAAAATCGTTCCTAGTTCCTGCAGTGCGAACACGCCGACATCCGGGAACTCCCGCCAATAGTTGTAGGAACCATGAAGAGGTTCCTCCGGTGCGAAAGCTCCAATGGAAAGCCCTGAACCGCTACGTTCACTATGATTATCTTCTAACATTTCAGTAATTATTGCAGTAACAATAAATATGTATCTGTCCACATCATTTTAACTCGGTTAAGTATCGTTGGAAGTAAAGCAGGTTTGACTGGCTTCATTTTCATCAGGCCATTAATTTGCACACTATTACATGACAGGAATCGCTCTTATGCTAGTAGATGAGGTGTGGGTCATGCTGGCCCAGATCTGCTGTGTGTTCTGGTGTGTTCACTCTGTGTCTCTGTGCCTGTGTGTGTCTGAGCAGCATGAGGCGAAGATCCGCTCTCTCACAGAGTACATGCAGAACGTGGAGCAGAAGAAGAGGCAGTTGGAGGATAATTATGATGCTCTCAGTGAAGAGCTTTACATGATGCAGAACTCGGGTAAGACACAAACACAAACTCTGCACAGACCTTCAGGCTCTATGACGAATTTCCAGATATTTATATAGATTTCCAAACTTCTATACGTCTGACTGTCAGAACTCCTAGAGTTGTCTAGATACATCGCCCTGTGTAGTGTAAGACAGATTCAGGATCTATCTTCAGATCTCTTTAGTAAATGTAAAGCTAGAGGGAGTAGTCCAGAAGACAGGCAGGAGTTATTCATGGAGAACCAGAGAAGCAATAAACAACCCAAAATCGAAAGGGCTAATAGAGGACCCAGATAGAAGGCAAGAGGTTCAACACCTCCTACAACACTTGGGCTGACAAGACTTCGCAAAGAATAGTCCAATGTCAAATATCCATCTATCCATTCATTCTCCAAGCCACATGTCCTCTGTAGGGTAACAGGGATGCTGAAACCAAACAGCTAATATATAATCCAGTGTTATCATCTATGAATACAGACAATGGTGATGATTAAGGTTTTATGTATTTTGATCATTTTAAATGTAGTGCTGTAATGTTGCATAGTAAATCATACTACTCTAAATTATATTTTGAGGGGGCTCAATGCAATATAATGCACAAGGTGCCACAAAAACTACTTGCTGTTGCTAATAAACGTAAAAAGCATTAAACCCTTATCTTGTAAAATATATACACTCACCGGCCACTTTATTAGGTACACCTGTCCAACTGCTCGTTAACACTTAATTTCTAAGCAGCCAATCACATGGCGGCAACTCAGTGCATTTAGGCATGTAGACATGGTCAAGACAATCTCCTGCAGTTCAAACCGAGCATCAGTATGGGGAAGAAAGTTGATTTGAGTGACTTTGAACGTGGCATGATTGTTGGTGCCAGAAGGGCTGGTCTGAGTATTTCAGAAACTGCTAATCTACTGGGATTTTCACGCACAACCATCTCTAGGGTTTACAGAGAATGGTCCGAAAAAGAAAAAACATCCAGTGAGCGGCAGTTCTGTGGGCGGAAATGCCTTGTTGATGCCAGAGGTCAGAGGAGAATGGCCAGACTGGTTCGAGCTGATAGAAGGGCAACAGTGACTGAAATAACCACTCGTTACAACCGAGGTATGCAGCAAAGCATTTGTGAAGCCACAACACGCACAACCTTGAGGCGGATGGGCTACAACAGCAGAAGACTCCACCGGGTACCACTCATCTCCACTACAAATAGGAAAAAGAGGCTACAATTTGCAAGAGCTCACCAAAATTGAACAGTTGAAGACTGGAAAAATTTTGCCTGGTCTGATGAGTCTCGATTTCTGTTGAGACATTCAGATGTTAGAGTCAGAATTTGGCGTAAACAGAATGAGAACATGGATCCATCATGCCTTGTTACCACTGTGCAGGCTGGTGGTGGTGGTGTAATGGTGTGGGGGATGTTTTCCTGGCACACTTTAGGCCCCTTAGTGCCAATTGGGCATCGTTTAAATGCCACGGCCTACCTGAGCATTGTTTCTGACCATGTCCATCCCTTTATGGCCACCATGTACCCATCCTCTGATGGCTACTTCCACCATGTCACAAAGCTCTAATCATTTCAAATTGGTTTCTTGAACATGACAATGAGTTCACTGTACTAAAATGGCCTCCACAGTCACCAGATCTCAACCCAATAGAACATCTTTGGGATGTGGTGGAACGGGAGATTCGCATCATGGATGTGCAGCCGACAAATCTGCGGCAACTGTGTGATGCCATCATGTCAATATGGACCAAACTCCCTGAGGAATGCTTCCAGCACCTTGTTGAATCTATGCCACGAAGAATTGAGGCAGTTCTGAAGGCAAAAGGGGGTCCAACCCGTTACTAGCATGGGGTACCTAATAAAGTGGCCGGTGAGTGTATATATATATTCATAACACTTTATTATAACTGATAAGTCATTAACAAAAAATGTGTAGTTTAACAGTTGTTCCTAAATCTTTGAATGTATTTGAAGTAATGATCATCTAAGCATTATACAATATCATGCTGGTTATAAATGTTGTTATAAATGGTTAAAGGGGTAGTACACCCAAAATTGAAAGGTCTGCATTCATTAGTTTTCCACACATCTTTCGTGCATCTATTCTCCTGGTGCTCATGCTGGACCAGGTCCTGGTGGCAGCTGGCTAATTAGGGCTGCCCATACGTCCTTTTCATCTACAACTTACCCTAGCTCCTCCTGGGGGATCCCAAGGCGTACCCATCCTAGATCTACCTGCCACAGCCATATCACCCTGAAGCCCTAGACTGGTCACACACTGAAGCTAAGCAGGGCTGAGCCTGGTCAGAACCTGGATGGGAGACTCCTGGGAAAGCTAGGTTGCTGCTGGAAGAGGTGTTAGTGAGGCCAGCAGGGGGCGCTGTTCACCATGTGGTCTGTGTGGGTCCTAACGGCCCAGTAGAGTGATGGGGACACTGTACTGTCAAAAAGTCCTTCAGATGAGACGTTAAACCGAGGTCCTGACCCTCTGTGGTCATTAAAAAACCAAACTTTCCCAGTGGCCTCTGTCCATCATCATGGCCTCCTAATCATCCCCATAAATACTGATTGGCTTCATCACTCTGTCTCCTCTCCACCAGTAAGCTGGTGTGTGTGTGTGTGTGTGTGTGTGTGTGTGTGTGTGTGTGTGTGTGTGTGTGTGTGTGTGTGTGTGTGTGTGTGTGTGTGTGTGTGTGTGTGTGTGTGTTCTGGCGCACCATGGCTGCTGTCGAATCACCCTACTCGTAAACAAGACCCAACATATTTGAACTCCTCCACTTGGGGCAGCAACTTACTCCCTCCCCGACCCTCCTTGGATCCCCACCTTAACACGGTGGTGGAGTATGAGTGTGTCAGTGACACTGGAAGAGGTATTGTCCAGATCTTTAGCTCCTGGTTGGCTCGCCCTCTGCAAATTGGAAGAGGGAAATGGGGGCCCTCTCCTGGATGCTGGCCTGGGAGGGGATCTCTTAGATGGATATCTGGTGGCCAGCATCTGGTCCGTGAGACTCAGTCGGGCTCATCTGAAGGGGCCTTGCCCTTTTGGGCATAGTACCTGCGAGGAAACGATTATGGGACCGGTGCAATGTACAATGGGCGGCATCTACTTTGACGATGATTACATGATTCTTTTGTGGTCGTTTATTCTTGTCCAGTTTTCAATGCAAAACTTGCACAAGTAAGTAATTAGTTGAAGATAAATGATAACAAATTAACATTTCTGTATGGACTAGCGCCCTCTGTTGGGCAAAATAAACAGCACATGATTGGGGCTCGTTTTAATTTCCCACCTTAGGTGTTATTTCTCTTTGCAGTAAAAAGAGGAATTCCAGCCAGGGTCGGGCCACCGAAAAACAAGACTATCCCCAGGAGACTGGGACGATTGGTCTTATGGTCTTTCTGTCAATTATTCTGGCTGACTGTAAAGCTTTTAAAACTTTCAAACTGCTTGACAAACCTTTCTTTATTCTTCTAAGCCTAATTGCAATTCAACTACAAGCTACCTTCACCAAAGTCAGAGCTTTCTGAAGATCTGTGCGGTCTTAGCATGCTATATCTTTTCTAAATAATTGGTCTTGTGGGTTTCCTTTATCAGAACTTCAAAGTTGCCAAAAATCCAAAAGACTGGAAAAAGAATTTCAGATTCAGCGTCTGTACTGTTACATTAATGGCTCTGTGTTTATTTTTATACCAGAGAGTAATGTGGCAGAACTGGATGGAGGAGAGAAAGCTGACAGAGAGGCTGAAGGGAAAGTAAGTCGCACATACATGGCTCTACTATTTTACACATGAACAGTCCTGTGACTAGTGTTAGGAACACATACATGTTATGATAAGAGAGATGTTGTACATGATGTGATTATTATTAAAAATAGGTCACTAGCAGCAGTCAAACACATGGACACTAATGTGTGTGAAATGTTATTGGACACACAGAGATGTTTGTTTGTGTGTGTGTGTGTGTGTGTGTAGAAGGCTGCTGTTCGCCCAGCTCTCCACGCCGAGTCTCGTCAGAAGCAGCTCAGCCACCTGCGGGACGAGATTAATGAGAAACAGCGACTCATCGACGACCTTACCGAGTCAGTATCCGTTCCAGTGTCTTCTCATGGCACTGTAGAATAATCACTGAATATTGTAAACGAGGTGCTGATGTGTCATAACTTGTGTTGCAGCAAGAATCAGGCTCTAGAGCTGGAGCTGGCTCATGTGCGCTCCAGTTTCAGTAACCTGAAAATGCAGGACGACACCAAGAGCGCCTGCTTGGATCAGCTGTCGTACGTTTTTACACAAATACACTGAGATTGTTTGCTCATGTTGTGAGTGTTAAAGAGGGCCTATTCTGCGATGTCCATGTTCATCTGTCTTTAGTGTGTAATGTTGAGTTCTTCTCTATATCAGTGTCAGTGTTCCTGAACTCCTGAAACGCCTCCATTGTAGTCTTGAGTTTCTTACGGGAACGAACACGTCACAATATTCCTCATTTTAATAATTAATGTGCAGAATAAAGGGGCGGGGCCTGGTTGAGTTAGTCAGTAGTGTGTTAAACTGGCGGTTATGGAAAGGGGCGGGACATTTCCCAAACACACTCAAAGCGCTCGACCAATCACAACACACTGATCCAGCCGACCAATCTGAGCACAGTGTGCTTTTTAGAAGGAGGGGCTTCATAGAGACAGGAAGTAAGAATATGAGGAAAATAATCAACATTCAAGCAGGAAAACCTGTTCTAGTAGAGCCTGAAAACAAGAGTTTGTACAAGAGCATGATGGGTCCTCTTTAAGGGATGCTACAGTGTGGAATGGCTGTTTAATGTGTGTTCAAGTTTGGGTTTTCTCGTCAGCTTTCAACAGGAGAGACACGAGCAGTCCAAGCAGGATCTCAGGGGCCTTGAGGAGACTGTTGTAAGTTCCTCAAACAAACTCTGGTTACACTTTATTTTGAGGTGTCTTTGTTACAGTGTAATTATACATTTAAGGACTGAGTAATATTAAGTAACTACATGTACTTACTATAGGATTAGGATTTGGTTTGGTTTAGGGTTAGTTGCAAGTAATTATGCATAATTATAGTTATTACTACAATAACTACATGTAACGTAACAATAACACGTAAAATAAAGTGTAACCCTCTTATCCTACATTTACTTCTTTTACATCATTCTCATCTGAATTTCTGCACCATGATGATGTCATTTCACATCCTAACAGTGGTTTTGTGTGCGTGAGCTCCCCCTGCTGCTCTGGCTGAATGGATAAACACCTCAGACCTGCTCAGATCACATAATTTGCTGGAAAATTAATAGATCTTTAGTAGAGAACTAGTAGAACTAGTAGTTGTGTTGCTGAAACGGGGCTTGAACATTCAGCATATGTTTTCATGACATTGATTGTCAATCATCTTTAGGGCCATGTGTTGAAAATGAACGTGTTAATAACCAAAACAGATCTTTCACTCTTTCATCTACTTGCCTGCGGTTTCTCATATAGCTCTTCTCTCTCTGTCTCAGGCTCGGGAACTCCAGACCCTCCACAACCTGCGCAAGCTGTTCGTTCAAGACCTCACGACTCGGGTTAAAAAAGTGAGTTCTGCATGTGAACATGGATATTTTGCTTAACAAATGTCCACTGTTATGTGTCTTTCTGACATGTTTTCCTCACACAGAGTACAGAAATTGGACCTGATGATAGTGGGGGGTCTAACACTCAGAAACAGAAGATTTCCTTTCTTGAAAACAACCTGGATCAGCTTACAAAGGTTCATAAACAGGTCAGGATCACGTTAACAGCACTTTATATAATAGATGTCTTAAAAGCAAGCAACTTTACAGTATTAAACATGAAAAAATGTGTCGGCGTCGCTTTCGATTATTACAGCTTGAGTTTCTACTATAAAGCGTCTCTCCAGTGTGTTCATGTTTTACTCGCGTCTGAACAGAGGAAATGAGGATTTACACCTCAGAGAAGGCGGAGCCTCAGAGCCACACCCACCGATTACATCATCACCACGGACCAATGAGAGTTCAGAGGCTGTTTCGAACTCCTAACGAACTTCAGTTTGGCCTGATTGACATTTCACCAGTTCATTCTTCAATTTTGCTTGAAGTGTATCGGAACACAAATTATTTGTAATATTCTCTCATACTGTATATCATTTTTTATCCATCCATTGAAAGTAGGCACTCAAAATGTTGCCTCCTGAAAAGGCTGTAAAAGTTCTCGCTATGAATAGATCAGTTTTATCTAAGGGTATATTTTCCACGGCGAGACGACACCATTATCAAAACAATCTCCATTCACACGGATCCGCGAAAACGACTAAAAACGCTGTATTCTGCTCTCAGGCCACTAGATGGCGATGAAACGCGATAGGCTGAACACGCATGAGCATGACGTCATCGCTTTTAGTGATTCACGTTTTTGTTGTTTACACTGAGACGTTTTTAAAAACTTGAAGAAGAAGAAGAAGAAGAAGTTTTATTTATATAGCGCCTTTCCGAAGCTCAAGGTCGCTTTACATGGTACCTTTATAATACATTTAACACTGACGCACAACTTTACAATCACAAAGGACACATATAATCACATTTAGACGAAGTACATGTTAAACAGATATGTTTTTAACTGTGTCTTGAAAGCAGTCACTGATGAAATATTTCGAAGTGAAAGTGGCAGTGAATTCCATAATGTTGACGCATTAACACTGAATGACCTTCCACCTACTGTAGATAATCGAAAACGAGGGATGGACAGTAAACCAAGTTCAGTTGATCTGAGAGAGCGTGCAGGACGGTAGGTGAAAAGTAGATCAGACAAATATGGGGGTGCAAGACCGTTAAATGCCTTATATGTTAAAAGCAATACCTTAAAGTGGATACGTGATGAAACAGGTAACCAGTGAAGGTCATGAAGCACCGGAGTAATGTGAGCAGAACGCCTGGTGGAGGTGAGAACTCTTGCTGCTGAGTTTTGGACGTACTGCAATCTTGCAATAAGTTTTTTGGGAAGGCCAAGAAATAAAGCATTGCAATAATCCAGACGTGATGTGATTGATGCATGAATTAAGAGTTCGGCGTCAGCTAAAGTGAGAGATGGTCTTAGACGAGCAATATTTCGAAGATGAAAGAAAGAGTTTTTAACAATGGAAGAAATATGAGAGCCAAAAGACAGAGTTGAGTCAAATAAGACACCGAGGTTGCGAGTCAGTGATGAAGGCTTTATATGGAAACCATCAATATAGAAGGACTGGTCCATCCTTTTGACTGAGGCTGGAGAACCAATCACTAATATCTCAGTTTTATTATCATTTAATTTGAGGAAGTTAAGGGACATCCAATGCTTTATGTCCCTGATGCATGCAGTGAGTGAGTCAGGCAGGGATGGTCTATCGGAGCTGGTGGTGAGGTAAATTTGGATGTCGTCTGCATAGCAATGGAATTGTAGTCCATGCCTGCGTATGATGCTACCAAGTGGGTGTATGTAGATGATAAACAAGAGTGGACCAAGAACCGAACCTTGAGGAACGCCCCGTGTAAGTAAATTGGTGGCAGAATTATGACCTTGTATGGTGATATAATACATTCTGTCAGTGATATAGGAAATAAGCCAGGAAAGAGCGGAACCAGTGATACCAATATCAGAAAGCCGAGAAATAAGCAATTCATGGCAGACTGTGTCAAAAGCAGCGCTTAGATCAAGGAGCATCAAGATGTTTATTAACCCTGAATCCATCGATGAGAGAATGTCGTTAACCACACGCAGAAGAGCAGTTTCAGTGCTGTGAGATGGGCGAAAACCCGACTGAAAAGGTTCAAAAAGACCATTCATATCCAAATAAGAGCGTAATTGAGAAGCAACAACCTTTTCAAGGATTTTGCTTAAGAATGTTAGGTTTGATATCGGTCTGTAATTGTCCATGTTTAGGTGATCAAGGCCAGGTTTTTTAAGAATGGGAGTCACTGCAGCAGTTTTTAATTCCGCTGGGACAATGGCACGAGCTAAACTACAGTTTATCATGTGAGTTATGAATGGTGCGACCTCGAGGACGCACTTCTTAAGTAGAACAGTAGGTGTAGGATCGAGCCGGCAGGATGTAGAATTTGACTTCACAATTAGGTCACTTATGGCAACAGGAGTAGTCAGAGTAAAAGTAGAGAGAGGGTTTGACAAGTGGGCTGGTCCAGTTATCATTAAGTTTGAGTCACTTGTATGCGTGTTTTTGGTGATGGAAGAAGTGATAGACATCAATTTGTCTGAAAAGAATTTAGAGAAGCTATTTACAAGCTCCACAGAGCCTGACATAACATGTTGTGGTGGATTTGTTAGTTTGTTAACCATAGCAAAGAGTGATTTGGGTCTGCACGAGGAATTCCTAATAGTGGAGGAGAAATAAGTGGATCTTGCATTGTTAAGGACGGTCCGGTAGTTGAGCAGGTGTTCTTTAAAAGCTAAAGAGTGCACAATGAGTCCAGTTTTCCTGTATAGTCTTTCTAGACGGCGACCCTCAGTTTTCATCATCCGAAGTTCAGGAGTGAACCAGGGTGAGGCACGAGTAGATGGAACCAGTCTAGTTTTAACAGGGGCATGCATATCAAGTATTTGAGACAGAGCATTATTGTAAGTACAGCAGATTTCTGATGGATGGTTAGACAGTAGACATTCAGATAAAGTAGAAGCCCTTATAGAAGCAGAAAAAGAAGTTGAATTAACAGAGTTAATTTTACGATAGGTCAGCATTTTCTTCTGAGGAGACATAGATATAGGAAAACTACAACTGAAATTTATAAGTTTGTGGTCTGAAAGTGCAAAATCAGAGCCGTTAACAAGAATATTATTCAAGCCAGATGTACATATGAGATCCAGTATGTGGCCTCTGGAGTGAGTGGCAAAAGTTACATTTTGAATCAAGTTGAAACAGTCCAATACTGACATCAACTCTTTGCATTGTGCAGTGTTTTCATGTATGTTAAAATCACCAAGCAAAATAACAGATGAATGACAAGCACAGACAAGAGTAAGTATCTCACTAATATCAGAAAAAAAGTCAGAGGGACTTTTTGGTGGTCGGTAAATTAAGATTACCACCAGTGACGTTTGGCCCGTCATTTTCAGCGCTAAATATTCAAATGTTGTAACATCGTGTAACTCAATCTTGGATATTTTAATAGTCTCACGGCAAACTACAACCAGTCCTCCACCTCTGCGATGAAGACGTGGTTGAGAAAAAAAGATGTATCCAGACGGCGTTAAGAGGTTTAAGCTCAAATAGTCATTTGGCACCTGCCAGGTTTCCGTTAGAAATAGCATGTCCAGGTCAGTGTCAATGATTATGTCATTCAATAGTGATGCTTTATCAGTTAGAGAGCGGGTGTTTAGCAGCGCACATCGCAGGTCAGGTGATGCACGTCTGCAGATTCCGAGGTCAGGATCAGGACGCAGCAATCTTAAATTTCCAAAGTTGATAAGTCTATGTCTTTTATCCAGTTGTGTTGTATCCAGAACACGGGTGATGGTAGAGACAACCGGAATATTATTGGGGGGCGAGTAATAGTAATTCCGGAGTTTTTTCCGCGACCGGTGAATGTAGCGAGGTCGGCGTAAAACCTCGAGCTGTTCACAGCGTTTATAAGTATCAGGAGCCAGGCGGGAAACTCCTTTTAATGATCTGAGATGAGCAACGGAATATTGCAAAGCCATCTTGGGGAAAAAACTGTGATTCGTCTCATCAACAGACAAGAAGATCCAGATAAGACCACCAAAAAACAAAAACAGAAACTGCCAGTGTATATGTGACGACATGACGAGTGATGACCCGTTCGACCTAACACAACAGTTTATCGGTTTCACTGCGTTAGCCAGAACCGCGCCAGAATCAACAATCCTCAGAAGGGACGGCTACCCAACCATACTAAGGATTTACATCGCAAAAGACAAATGACAAAAGAGAGTGGAGACTCACAGTATCAGGTGTCGAGAGGGATGACAGGATATTGACGGAGAGGACTTGCAGCCGATCTGTGTGAAGGATCACAGGGACACCCAGGTCAGTTATCCAGTTATCCAAAAGTTTTGAGAATAGTCCAGCGAATTCAAAAAGTTTAGAGGGTATGAGAATAGTCCAGCAAATAATCCAGGAGGGTTGAAACAGAGAAAAACATATCCAAGAAAAAACACGAACCCTAATCCAGGAGGGTTGAAACAGAGAAAAACATATCCAAGAAAAAACACGAACGTAACAGCAGCAGACAGACAGGTACCAGCGTGAAGCGGCAGCACAACCGCGCCAAGCGTTCTCACAACCGGAAATGACGAGGAAGGAGACACTTTGAAACCCATTTTCAAAAGTGTGTGTTTTCAGGCGCCCAAAACGCCTTTGTTTTGTACACGAACGGCCTGAAGAGAAATGATTCCGTTATATGATGAACCGATTTAATTTGGGCTTTTATTCACATGTAAACAGTGATCAGCGCACACACACAGAGCTCAGTGTTTTTCAGTTTTGAGCAGGAACAGAGTCCAAGCTCCTGCATTTCATAATGTTGTGTCCCTCTATTTATAACTGATGCTAGCACTAGTGACTAGTGAACCTGTGTGTGCAGCTGGTACGTGATAACGCAGATCTGCGCTGTGAGCTTCCGAAGCTGGAGAAGCGTCTTCGTTCTACGGCTGAGCGGGTTCGGGCGCTGGAGACGGCACTGAAGGACGCCAAGCAGGGCGCCATGAACGACCGGCGCCGCTACCAGCAGGAGGTGGAGCGCATCCGGGACGCCATGCGGCTGCGCTATCCGCTGCGCCGGCCCAACGCCGCTCAGATCGGTACGCACTGCGCAGTCACACATGATGATGTTTTACGTCAGCAGTAAGGCACTGGAGGCGGTGTGGTGAACGAGTCCCGCTGTGAATAAGGCTCGACCTGAAGCGGAGTCAGCCGTGAGTTATTCACAGCACAGCCTCCAGTGCTTTACGGCTCTTAGAACACGATTACCACACAAGACAAATAGTAAAGCCGAAAAACATGTATCAATGCAACTTTCATCAAGTAAAATTATGGAAGCAAAGTTTTTGTATGCAAAACATTTAACATTAAAATACACCCTATAATATTTGCCAGGATGAGCTGTGTTGAATTTTCTGTCGAATTTGAACCACTGAGTTTGTGGAAGCTAAATAAAATGGACTGAAAATTGCCTGTCGAATATTATTTCCTGATGTTGTGTTGTGTGTTACCAGCTAAACCAGTGAGACCCGGACACCACGTCTCGGCCACGTCCCCCACCAGCTTCTCCAGCACGCCACGCTCCAGCAAACCCGCCACGTCCTACAGCAACGCTCTGTTCCTGCAGGAGGAGAAGAAAACCAACCCGTGAGTGTGTGTGTGCTGTCGTCCAGTCTCTCGTCTTCTCCTCTCCTCCTCTCATCTGTCCTCTGTTCATTTCAGTGTTGGATACAGCACTGTGAGATCCATAGACATACTGAGCTCCTGTCCGCTCGACGTGGAGAACGGTAAGTGTGTGTGTGCTGCGACACCACTAAAACAACATTTATACACTGCCGCTCATACTTGATATTTGGAAATAAAATCATTTTATTCTAGATGAACAGGGAAAATAAAGTTATAGATGGAAGGAATCAACATGTGTGTGTAGGTGTAGACCAGAGGTCAGCAACCTTTGGCCATTTTTCATTTGCCGCAGTTAAAGAAAGTCCAACACTGATAGCAGTGTCTTGATTAAAGAATAAAAGTGTGTTGAGGAATGTAACTAAACGCTGCAGGAAAGGACCAGGAACGAGGAACCCTGATCAAGATAACATCCATCCATCTCTCTTTAGGCCCATTCACACTAAAGGTCCTAATTCTCGTCCGAAATTTTCCCACGTTAAAAAATAAATACGACCTCACGTTGTGTCAATCACGTTTACACACTGCCTCCGAAACTTTCGTCCGTCATAAAATAATTCGGATCGGGTTCGATTGTCTGCGTTATTTGCATCCGTAGCAAGTATTTTGAGAGGTGTTTTGACAATCCACAGCCACCCAATGACGAATACGATAAAAAACTAATACGAAAGTTTCGGACTCGGTGTGCAAGGACCTTAAGGGCGATAACTATAACAATAACGATAAACATATAGTTCTAAAAATTGTTCTCAATATTAAAGAATGCCTCCAGTTTTCCCTTTGTTTTGCCTCCAGCTAACGCTGTGACGTAATTGTGACATCGGCGCAAAAAGGGTCTATACGCTATTATATTAACTAATACATTAAGGATGTTGGCGTTGGTTGGGGAGACACGAGTGAAATCAGATGTAGGGGAGCACATGTCCTAAAGCTTGGAAACCTCTGGTCTAAAGAACCTTTTTCAACTACAAAGCCTTTATTTTTTTAAGAGTGGGTTACACTTTATTTCAATGGTCCACTTTAGACATTCTACTGACTATAGCGTTGCACCTACATGTCAACTCTCATTAGAGGATTAGTACTGTTAGGTTAGGGTTAGTAGAATAAGTTGACATGTAGTTGCAAAGTTTCTTACAGTCAGGAGAATGTCTGTTGGGGAGCCTCAGAAACCCGCGGGAACAGAGCGAGTGTTAATGAACACCCCGGCCTCGAGTCCCACGGAGGAACTCCTGAAGGAGACACGAGGAGAGACAGCAGTGAAGGGCGAGAGAGAACCAGGCCTGGCACTTCATGTTCTGCTTTTGTTTTAGTTTATGTGGCAGTCGTCCATGAGGGGCTGCCGCTTTACTTTCGTTTTGTTCTTTATGTTTATTTTATTATTAGTTATGTTATGTTTACCGTTCGCCGGTTCCCGCCTCGTTCTTCCCGTATCAACAAACCGGGTTACACAGATAATAAGCAGACAGTCCACTAATACTCTAATGTACTCGCAAAGTTACTTATAGTTAGTAGAATGTCTAAAGTGGACCATTGAAATAAAGTGTAACTTAAGAGTGTAGATTAGTTTACCCAGATACCCGTTATTGTAACGTCTTGACCCCGCCTCCAGGCTTCTGATGATAAAGACTAGCAGGTTTAAAGGGCCAGAACCAGTTTTTCTTAGACTCTGTTTTTGCTTGTAACAGTTGTAACCTTTTATTCTGTTCCTTTATGCTTTTCAGGAAATAGCACAGACATTAATGATAACAGGTAAGCAAACTCCCATGCTCTAATGGGATGGATCGACTCAATTGCAGGTCTAACCTGAATTTTAATTCTGACTTTAAGTTCCAGTTATGTTGTGTTTGTCTCCGCTGACTGCTTCTGTGTTTCAGGAGTGATGTTCACTGTGGCAGTATGGCGGACGATGCTTCACGACTCTTCATCATGCAACAGGAGACCGCAGCCAGTTAATCATTTAATGTAGGCAAACACACACACACACATATATAATGAGCTTGGAAACACATGTTTTCATCAGTTTTCATCTTTTGTCCACTCTCTCCAGATATTCCAGTTGTCTGCATGCAGCCGTTCAGCCTTCGCCATCTTCTCCACGACTTTATTCCTAGACTTCTTGGCTCTGTACCGTCTTATATTGTATGAAATATTCCTCTATCGTTCATGCAGAGTCACATCATGTATCCTGTCTCGCATATATCACTGTTGCATGTTTGTCTGTTTAGTAATAAAACTCATAGGTTGTAAATGAACCCTCACATACAGTAGATATTTGAATACGCACATCTATATTGCTTGCATTATAATACAGGAGAGATCTAGAAACACCTTCCCTTTAGTCTTGCTGAGCCTTAAAGAAAGACGTTAAATATTGTGAAGATTCACATATAACAGTGTGTTTGTGTGTGTCATCGTGTAGATTTTGATAAAATTATATTCAAGTACTGACTACCTCCAATTATCGGAAAAAACATTTTCAGTAATATTTGATTTGCATTGTATTTGTTTTCACATCAAAATGATTGGGATGAAAATTGCTGTATGTGAAGAGCTTGTATAGTAGAGATATCGTGGAGATTTACAGGTCTGAATGCTTCAGGTATTCTGCCAAATGCTCTGAACAATCACAGCTCTGATTTCTCTCGCAAAATCCTGATCAGCCAATCAGGAGGACAGAATGAAGCGTCTGTGTCGGTGTGATGTTTCCCGGAAGGCCCGATGAATGCGTGACTCCATTCCTGACACTTTTCTTTCAGTCCTCTTTCAGGGTGTCTTTAGACTGATTCACTTGAATATTTAGCAAGACAATGAATGAGTGAGGCCGCAGAAACTGTATTATGATGAAGGATAATCATAGTTGCCACTGAAATGCTTGCTTCTCACACCTCTTCCCCGGTTCAAACCTCTGTCGTCCCCATTAGAAGAGTAAATACTTCAGAAACCCATGAAGAGAGTTTGGGCCAAAGCTCAACTGGTTTACTCAAGATATCTTTGTTGAAGGTTGTTTCGTGTGATATATGTACAGTGGGCTAGTTTGCTGGAAGCTGATGCGAGAAATAAATGTAATTCAAAGAAAAATGTGATTCTTTGTTTTTCCTTTGTCTTGAAGAGGTGATGTCTGCTTTCTTTACTGTTCTACATGTTTCCTTTCACATAACATTTGCTGCAGAACATAACATTGTTACCTACACTGTTAGAAAAAAAAAAGTGAAAAAACGGAAATATTCTGGCAGCTGGGGCGCCAGAAAAATACCGTGAAATACCAGTTAAAAACCAACTCGTAAAAAACGGAAATATTCTGGCAGCTGGGGCGCCAGAAAATGTCTGATAAAAGACGGAAAAATACTGTCAGGAAAAAAACTGTAAAAAAAATGGTAATTTCTTATCCTATAATTATGGTTTATTACTGTTATTCTACACAAAAATATCTTTCATTATCTGATATAATGTTAATTTACTGACCTATTGAAGTATTAATATCTGTTTTGTACCATTGTAATACACTGTCAACCAACAACCACAGTGGTGATGAGAGTCACATGATCATTCAAAGCTCATTCAGCGCTATCTCACGACCAATTCGTACAAGAGATTAAAAGGTGGCTAATTCGTACGACCTCACTCGTACGAGTTCATACGATTTGTCTAAACCAACTTGATGGGTGGCTTTAGGGGCGGGGTCAGGGATAGGTCAATGATTCAATTTCATACGAATTTGATATTTGATAACTTGCAAAATATGCACGAATTAGCAAAATCCGTATGAATCCATATGAATTCCCTTGAGAGCAGGCTGGCTCATCACAAGCAGCTCTCCCACAAAGAACTGGAAATACTAATATACAGAAACTGCGCAGTATCATTAGCACAAACATTAAACACCATCATGGTAACATGTGAAATTTTAAAAATGCAATAAACATTAGTTTAACAACATTAAATGTAACATAAAACCCTAATATACATAACTCATTCGGAAAAAACTAAGAAAACTATGAAGAAACATAGTTATTTCAACAAAAACACATCAAATGTGAAGTGTCACGCAGGGAATTGTGGGAATGTCAATTTACGGGTTTTCACTGTAAATTATACAATGAGTTGATCTTTTTCACTTTCAAAAACTGTAAATTGAATGGTATTTTACAGTAAAATTACATTAAATGTACCATTAGATCTATCACAGTTATTATAGTACGGAAATACTATTATTTAACCTTAAAACTCACCTTAACACCCACATCTTCAAGGAAAACATGTTAAATGACTGATTTCTGCAGTTATACCTTCTTTTCTTTGTTTTCTAATTTAACAGAAAAAATCTGTAAAATATTACGGAATATTTTATGTAAAATTACACATAACCCTGTAAAAATACAGACAATTTCCTTTAAAAAAACGTAAAATTGATGTAAAACCAAAATACAAGCAATTACCTGTAAATTCAACAGTGGACCTTTAAATAACAGCAAATATCTGTAAAATAACAGGCATTCACTGTATAATGACAAAACGGCAACATTCTGTAAAAAAAATACAGACCATTACCTGTAAATGTACTACTTTTTTTACAGTGTACATAAATCACTAAAGCTCAGAATAGCTCATTTAGTTGTGTTATGTTTACAATCAGATAATGAAATGGTTCCATCAGTGAACTCTACACGAGTCATCACATGGGAACTCCCCCAGCATGACCGGTGTGTGAAACGGAGAGAGAGTTCAGGAGATCTCTGACGCCTGAGGACACACGGGAGCGGAGTGTAATCTGCTCTGTGTAGAGGCGGATAACAGAGCTAGTCCACAGCCGGAGAACTGCTGGAAGGTATGAGACTTGTCCTGGAGAGAGAGGAGTCTGCTCCTGGGAAGCCGGATGAGCGGTTTCTCCCGGGTCATAAACAGCCTCAGTGTGTCAGCCTTCTCTCTCACAGAGACTCATGATGAAATGGTGAAGTCCTGGAAGAAACTCAGGGCTCGACATTAACGCTTGTCCGGGACAAAATGTGGAGTTTTTATATTTATAACATATAATAGGCAAGGCAAAGCAAGTGTATTTATATAGCACATTTCATACACAATGGTAATTCAAAGTGCTTTACATAGGAGGAAATAATTAAAACAGTTTAGAATAAAAAATAAAATAAAGTACAGTAAAAACAGTCGGACGAACATTGGCACAGTGCTCACACTAATAGTTAAGCAACATCACACGACCAAGCGTGCTGAATACCATCACGACTAAAAATGTGACACTGATTTCATACAACGGTTTCGGCTCGCGTACCCCGAAGTGATAAAATAAAACAAAATTCTGTATCAAAATTGATAGGCAAGACAAGTAGTTTGTTTAGGTATGGAATTACAAACCTGCGCACATATTTTAAAAAGCACATAACTATAGAATTCTGAATGAGCATGTGAACGCCGTCAGCGTTAATCACAGGTTCGCGTTTAAAGTCTGATCATTTCGACGGAGGTGAATCAATCAAAGTTAACTTTAGCTGGAAGTAACATTATTCAAGAACCGCTATAAAACCAAAACAATCTGTTACCTTAAATTATATGTTTATCTCTGTAAAGCTGCTTTGAAACAATCCATTGTTAAAAGCGCTATATAAATGAAGATGACTTGACTTGACTTGACAACATTTTAATAAACAAGTAGTTCAAATGAAGTCACTTACATTTTAGATGCAACATTGACTGTTTTCATTCAGTTTCAGGAAGGAAAATCGTTCCAAACAAAGATCACAGCAGAACCATAACCATCTCATCTCACTGCAACAGCTGGGGTACTAGTTTTTTTCATGAATAAATCTATTTTAAATGAACTCGGACTTGTCACGCACTCTGACATTTTAGACTCGGAAAATGTTCCGAGTACAGTCGAGTCTGGTCACTGGAGGACACGATATTATTCAAAAACGAAACTACTTACATTGTGTTGTTTCAGACATGGGCTATATGCACGCATAACTTCCACGTTTGACGCAAGGATGCTCGTGCGTTTCCGGTTGGGGAGATTTAAAGCGGAGGAAAACGGGATTATGGCAGAGTCTTCAAAATGTACTGTCCTCTCGTCTTTAAAACGAAACTTTAATACGTTTAGATGTAATTTTATATATAGTTATGTTTATTTAATATAATAAACACAGAAGCATAAACAAAATGAGGGGTGTCTGTTTTGTCTGTGTTTGTGACTAACGTTTCTTTAGTATAGCAATTGAGTATAAAAACCAATATAAATTCTCGGTATAGCATTGGACTCTACGATCGGCGGAAGTAATCCAGCATCCTTAGACCTTCACCGGAAATACCGTGCATAGAGCCCATTAAGCGCATGAACGCAGTGGCCAATCAGATGCGTTTTAGAGTCACCATGCGGAGAATTCGCTCAAAATGTACACTCACCTAAAGGATTATTAGGAACACCATACTAATACTGTGTTTGACCCACTTCCGCTTTCAGAACTGCCTTAATTCTACGTGGCATTGATTCAACAAGGTGCTGAAAGCATTCTTTAGAAATGTTGGCCCATATTGATAGGATAGCATCTTGCAGTTGATGGAGATTTGTGGGATGCACATCCAGGGCACGAAGCTCCCGTTCCACCACATCCCAAAGATGCTCTATTGGGTTGAGATCTGGTGACTGTGGGGGCCATTTTAGTACAGTGAACTCATTGTCATGTTCAAGAAACCAATTTGAAATGATTCGAGCTTTGTGACATGGTGCATTATCCTGCTGGAAGTAGCCATCAGAGGATGGGTACATGGTGGCCATAAAGGGATGGACATGGTCAGAAACAATGCTCAGGTAGGCCGTGGCATTTAAACGATGCCCGATTGGCACTAAGGGGCCTAAAGTGTGCCAAGAAAACATCCCCCCCACCATTACACCACCACCACCAGCCTGCACAGTGGTAACAAGGCATAATGGATCCATGTTCTCATGCTGTTTATGCCAAATTCTGACTCTACCATCTGAATGTCTCAACAGAAATCGAGACTCATCAGTACAGGCAACATTTTTCCAGTCTTCAACTGTCCAATTTTGGTGAGCTCTTGCAAATTGTAGCCTCTTTTTCCTATTTGTAGTGGAGATGAGTGGTACCCGGTGGGGTCTTCTGCTGTTGTAGCCCATCCGCCTCAAGGTTGTGCGTGTTGTGGCTTCACAAATGCTTTGCTGCATACCTCGGTTGTAACGAGTGGTTATTTCAGTCAAAGTTGCTCTTCTATCAGCTTGAATCAGTCGGCCCATTCTCCTCTGACCTCTAGCATCAACAAGGCATTTTCGCCCACAGGACTGCCGCATACTGGATGTTTTTCCCTTTTCACACCATTCTTTGTAAACCCTAGAAATGGTTGTGCGTGAAAATCCCAGTAACTGAGCAGATTGTGAAATACTCAGACCGGCCCGTCTGGCACCAACAACCATGCCACGCTCAAAATTGCTTAAATCACCTTTCTTTCCCATTCTGACATTCAGTTTGGAGTTCAGGAGATTGTCTTGACCAGGACCACACCCCTAAATGCATTGAAGCGACTGCCATGTGA